TTTGTTTCCAATTTCAGTTCATGAAAGATTAGTAAGATCCCTTCCTTCTTGAGAGGAGTTCGCTCGTAGCCAATTTGAGCAAAGTAAGCTCTTGTTCACTTTTGATTTATCAATAAATTTGAGATTCTTTTGTGAATTATTGAATCATTTTCTCTTTTTTTATCTGGGTGTGTTTTTTTGAGTAAATCTTAATCTGGGCATGTTCATTTGGTTCGAACTGAACCAGAGGGAGGAACAGGTCGCCGGTGATGGTGAGTGACTGGTTCGGCAGTGAGGCGGCAGGGTTGAACCGGGATTCGGCAGAGAGGACAGGTCACTGGCGACTATGGCAGATTTCGGCGAGTTCGACGGCGAGATGATAACAAAAATGACAGTCTTCAAGGAGCGGCGGTGAAGACGCACCGAGGCCGGTGACCAGGGATTGGCCTGACGGTGATGGCAACAACATCAATGGAAGCAGAGCAGAGAGATAAAGAACCGGTGACAATAAGAACGATAACAGATTTTATTATTTATTATATATATATATATATATATATATATATATATATATATATTTTGTTACAGCATATTATCAGAAGCAACAGATCCCGAATCTCAACAACAGAGAGCAAATCTATAGTCGGTGGGGTAAACAGAGATAGGAGAAAATACAATGCCCATAAATCATTTTTTTTTTTTTTGGTTATAGGATTCAGAAATCAAAAGGGTGCTAACAGAGAGATGAAGCTCCAACAAATACAAAAAAAAAAAATAAATAAAAACGGTCCTTTTGTTCTAAAGGATAATATTGTAATTTCAAAAATAAAAATTTTTGGTTTTTTAAATATAAGGGAATATAATAAGGGTAATTTAGTCATTTCACATACCCTTGACTGTCAATTGACAGAGTTGGAGTAAAATGATAACGTTATTATATTGTTGGGGGTTTTTAAAACTGGTTGGGGTTTTATGATCACTTTTTGAAAGTACCGGGTGTTTACAGAATTTTGCCTCATTTTTTATGCCAAATTTTATAGGTGTTTTTTATTGACAAATTTTAGCAATCACATTTTTAAACAAGAGAAAACAAATTTGAATTCTCTTAAGATTTTGTGAGACGGGTGATTATATGTGACCGGTGATGAATTATCAGATATTTTAAGAGGTACAACACCACTATCGTCAATTAAAAAAAAAAAATCATAAAATTTCTTTCCCTATACTATTGTCATCACATTTTATCATACATAGTACATGTTCCATTGTGAAAATAAAAATAAAAAAATAAAAAATCCAATTTCTAGTTGAAATTAGCAGGACATATACGACTATGCAATTAAATTATTGTATGGATAAAGTCAAGTGACTCGCTTGAAGATAAATTAGCATGCACTCGTTGATGTGTGACACTTCACTAAACTTACTATTGCTACTTAGTCCAATATGGACACTATGATTTATGAGACCAATGATCTTATTTAATTAACAATATAATATAAGTAACAAAATAAAATTGTTATTACTGTGCCTAACATAATAAGATATTAGATACCTTATACTACTTCCTAGCAATTAAGAATAACTAAGGTTCCAAGTTCAGTAGACTAATGTGATCAAGTCAATAATTTGAGGTTATTGGATTTACTCTCTACCAACTAAATATTCTAATTCATTATAAACGAAGATAAATATAATAATATATGAGCACAACATACAAATGGTTTTGATGAATCATATGAACTTGTATCCCCAACCCACAAAAAGAAGCACTAATACACACGCACACACGATAGATTTCTATTGAAGTTTGGACAAATTAGACACAAATAAATTGTTTAATATTTATTACTTTGACCTCTTTTAAGTTTTGGTGCCATGCTTAACAAAATCCCTAGTATTTTCTTTTCGACATCCTTGTTGATCAAATTATATAAAATGACAATTTTATCTTCTTCTTCCCTTTTTTTTTTTTTTTGTGGTATAAAATGTAGAATAATATATTACTATAATATAAGGGCATTATGAACTTTTACACTCAAACTCACTTTTTTGATGTCGGAAAAATGGGTTTAAGGGAGGTCAACGTAGTAAACGTTGAATAGTCTATCCAAACCTATGTAATTTTTTCCAAATCTTGAAAGAGGTCAATATAATTAACCCAATAAATATACATGTGTATACCTACATCATAGTTCGCAGTCGCGGTATCGGTTAAAATATTGTTTGTGGTCGCCATGTAATCGTGTAACGGGTTCGGATAAATATCGATATAAATTGGCTGATTACGATATCGAATCCTTAAAAAAAAATTGGGAACCTGACTATACAAACCCTGTCTACATTCGTGCGGCTGCGTTTAAGCATCTTATTATTTCAAAGTTAGTATGTAGATTCCATATATGCATTTGTGTGTATTTATAATTTGTAATGAATGATAATTAAACAACCATCACCAAAAAGAAACATTATAATTCAAACTTTCACTAACAAGCAATAACGCAGATATAAAATATGGAGACCTTGAAATGGTCAAAACTTGGGTATCACACTTTTTGATGAGAGAGAGAGAGCCTTTGACTTAGCATGAGATCAACTAACTCAACTACCCTTATAACTATTTGCCTTATAATAATACTAATAATGATAATAATAATAATAATCTACCTTTTTTTGTGTAACAATTGAAGCAGTGGCTGTCACTGACATTTTTGTGTTGGATATGTCATTGCGAAATCATACTTGCTTTTCTTTTGAGCCATAATCACAAATATAGTTTGAATTTTACTTGATTCGTGTAGGAGGTCTTTGGACGATTCCTGTCGATTAGTCAGGGTAAAATTCTGGACATCCGATTATCGAAAAAAATCATACTTGCTTCATAACTATTAAAAAACACTGTAGGCAAAATCCAAGAAATTTTAATCTGTAATCATATGAACAATTCATTTATTTATTTACCAAAAAAAATTAGCCAAGTATCATCCATGAAATCATCATATCTAAGATAATTTTAAATATAACTATACGAACAATTAATTAATTTAACGGTTGATGTATTTTTTTTCAAAAGAGAGGCGAGAATTCAAGCTTTCGTGGAAACAAAATTGTGTGCGTTTATGTCAATTGCTTACCTAATCCAACAAAAATAAAACAAAATAATAATAATAATAAAACAATTACTACATACATCAACTCTGTCTCTAACACCTAAAATAGGAGGCATGAAGATGCATCTGGTAGTTCAGGACCCACTGCTACATAAGCTATATTGAAGATTATGCATCTCTTAAAAGATCAAATTGTAAAACATTCCCCTTGACTATATGAAATTGGCACAAAACTCTCCGTTAGCTAATAATTTAACCTTATGGCCTCTGGACTATTCAATTATTGCAACTTTGAGACCAATGTCAGATTGTAATGGCAAAAATGCTTCTTAATAGAAATTTTAAAAAGATTAAATTGCATAAAATCCCCTTGAACTATTAAATTTTTACACAAAACTCCCTTAATAGAAATTTAAGAGAATAGAAATTTAAGAAAATTATTAAATCAAATCTTCAAAATAATTTTCATTTTAGGTTTTCTTTCTCTTTTTAATTTATAATAAATAGAAAATTAAGAAAATTTTGAAGATTACGCACAATTAAAGTGATTTTCTAATGACGAAAAGGTCCCTTAACAGAAGTTTAAGAAAATTTGATTTTTTTTTTCTAAAAAAATAATTTTCATTATTGGTATTCTTTTTCTTTTTAATTTCCAAAAAATAGAATTTTAAAAAAAATTTATAACATTAAAATAATGTTATAATGACAAAATTTTCCCTTAATATAAAATTTAACTTTTCTTTGAAATGATTTTCATTTATTTTCCTTTTTAATTATTTTAAAAAATAACCAAAGATGGTGTAGCCTGGTGGCATCTTGTAACGGGTGGGTGCTTCGCAACAGAATCTGATGTGGGACAAGTCTCTCCTTCCCAAACTTGCAACGCTCTTGTTGTAGTCGGATCACCCTGTCTACCCGGACACATCCGAGCAAGACGATTAGCTTTGACCCCGAATCAATGATTGTGTTTGATTCTGACACCAACGGGTGGGTGCTTTGCGATCCAACCCAAAAGCTTAAGTTATTAGGTGAAACTAACACCAAACAATCATCCACTGGCTGGAATTATTCGTTCTCTTCTTAATTCATGACAGTGAAACTATTCTTTCCAGGTTGGCAACCATATAGTTGGGATAAACCAAGTAAATGTTGTGTATTAATTATTTGTTGTGTGATTGGATTTTCATACATAATTGATTGTTGATGTGATTGTGATGAATGAAGGGAATACCCAACAATTAACCATTGAATACTATTATGTTATAAATATAACCAATGCTTCATGAAAAGATCTTAGAATAGTATTTTTGAAGCAGGGGTTTTGTTAACGAAAAGTTTGCCTTATATGTGACACCCGAACTTGGTTGGCACTTATATGTGTGATACCTCTTAAATATGTAGATACATTTTGAAATCAATCAGTATGAAGAGCATGCAATGCTAATAATACTTAAAAATGGTTGTTTTTGGGTGATTACACCTTCATTTTTTGACCTTTAACAGAAAGTTTAAAAATGGTGTATTCTCGTTTAGCTCAAGAAGTTCACGAACTGTCAGCAGTGTTGTAGATACAAACTGATTAGTTACTAACTAAACAGTTGCTAACTAACGATTAGTTACTAACTAAGCAGTTGCTAACTAAATAGTTACTCCACATGTCCTATATAATATGGGACAAAGATCCATATGATCTGTACTGTACCATAGATTTAGGGCCTTCAAACTTATTTGAAAAAAATATTTGACAGATAGATTGGAACCTCCTATTCATAATTAGAATGAAATTACATATGTACACACTAAATTTAGCTATCCAAAGGGGATACTCACCAACTGTTTTCAACTAACATTATCTATATATGTATCCATTTTACACATAATCACCATTTGCAGCTGCAAGAGAAAGCAAAGATGGCCAAAACCACATTGACCCTCCTGACATTGGCTCTTCTTCTTCTTCTTCTTTCTACACCCGCACACTCGACTTCACCGCCGGCCATCTACGTCTTTGGCGACTCCGCTGTGGACGCCGGTAACAACAATTTCTTGGACATAGAAATAAAATCGAATTTCGCACCTTATGGCATAGATTACCCCGGTGGAGTCGCTACAGGCAGATTCACAAACGGTCTTACGTTTGCTGATTTCATTTGTAAGTTTTTTTTCGTGTTTTTTTCGAACGTTACAAGCAAACGCACACAATCACAATATTGCCCTTAGCAGGGCTCGATCCTATTCTCAACTCCTTAATGATCATTTTGTTATAACTCTCAGTATTATATAACTACATGCAACAGCAGCACGCACACACACACACACACATATATATATAGACACACACACACACATTCTGGTTTTAAAAGCAAACGATGCTAAAGTTTTTTATATGTAAAAACATTTTAATATTTTGAATTTGTATGCAGCTCAATGGTTTGGCCTAATGCTCATACCGCCGATCATGGATGGTCATTCTACACAGGGTGCAAACACTAAAGGTTTCAACTATGCATCCGCTGCAGCTGGTTTACTCCCCAAGACCTGCGAAGTTACTGTAAGTAATTCTCATTCTCATCCCTACATCTATTAGTTTTGATTTATTTATTTATTATTATTTTTTTTTTCACAAATTAATCACAAGTCCTCAACGCATACATGATGATGAAATCCCAACCAACCTATGTAACCAATATTTTTAAACCGCACATAACCTCTCTTCATATGAAGATAAGGTTACATACATCTGACTCCAACATGATAGAGGTGGGAGTTCATCTTAGATCTATCAACTTCTTCGCCTCCTTTCCATTCAACCAAACAAGAGAAAAGAAGGATACTCACATAACCATTTACTCAGAGGGGACTTGAACGAGATACCGCTGAGTTAGAGTCCTTCGTAGTGGTATAGGTTCTATGAATATAAATCTTATAGGCAGTTAATATGCTAGTGTCGGGAAAGAAAAATTATTTGGAGTCAGAATGTAGAACATATTCGAAAGGATTACTATGTGAGACCCACGTCCCCATTCATGGTGATCCTTTCGGAATTGTCCAACCGTCAGACTCCCTATCATTACTCGTCAGAAAACGTGAATCAAAGATGAAAAAGAAAAAAATGAGGGTAAAAAATGCATGTACAACCCTATAGAGTTTTTTGTTCATTGACTAACTTGGTGTTTTGTTTTTCTGAACAGAAAAACCCCATGAGCATGGGAAAACAGGTGGAGTTATTTACAAAGACTGTTAACGAATACCTGCCATCCTTGCCAATGTACAAGGATAAAGCAGCTCTGTCAAGCGACTTGTCAAAGTCTTTTTTCCTTGTTCATATGGGCAGTAATGACTATATGTTGAACTATTTCGATCCTAATTTTTCTACAGCCAAAGAACACAATCCTGAACAATTTGCCGATCTTCTCGTTACAGAATTAGGAAAAAGTTTAGAGGTAATCCAATTCTTTAGCACTTCTCATTAGTAATTCTATCGTTTAATCTTGTAGAAATTGAAGTTAAATTCTATGATTGAGATGACAAAATGCAATAGAAATGTAGTGCTTTAGATGGTATGAAAATTTTAAAACGCATTTTCACTCATCATCATTTCTATGATATTGTGGCTGGAATTTTGTTTCTGATCCATAAAATGGACTTTGTGCGGGGAAAAACAAAATTTTACCCGTTTTTCTCTTATAGGTCAAGACCTTATTTAGGACTCTCTTGTAGCTCAGTATATAAGGGCCGGAAGGAGAGGGGGAGAGAGAGAGAGAGCTAGGGTTTGGAGCCAGATCTTCACCCAGCGTCAACTTTTTTGCTTAATTCTTGTTCTTGATTCACGGTGGTTGTAATAACATTTTCGGTAATATATATTTGTAGGAGTTGAGCAATCTGGGAGCCAGGAAATTTATAGTGTTCGGAATCGGTCTATTGGGTTGTACGCCTGTTGTCATAGATAAAATGAAAGTAGAGACGAAGTGCGCTGAGAGTGTGAATGAAGCAGTTAAAATTTTCAACACCAAGCTTGAGGCTAAGCTTGTCCAATTGTGCTCTACTCTCAAGGGCTCAACATTCACTATGGGAAATCCCTACAATCTTGGTCGAGAAGTTATGGACAACCCCGGTAACTATGGTGAGAAATTATGTTATTACTATTTCTTTCCTTTTTAATGTTATAGACATATCCGACTGTTTTATGTGAATGTGGGATGAGGTCATCTCCCACTCACATAAATTCAACGGAAATATTGTTCGACTTTCGGACGTTGTATCATCTCACTCATCTTGAAAACTGATCGAAGTTAAGCCATTCTCTGCAGGCTTTAAAGAGACTAGAAAACCATGTTGCGGAAGTGGAGATGGAAAAGGACCATGCTCGAGGAATCAAGTTCCTTGCCAAGATAGGACGGCATACAAATTCTGGGATTTTACTCACCCAACACAAGCAACACATGAGCTTTTAGCAAAAAAATGTTTTGATGGCACTGGAGTGTGCACTCCATTGAATTTGATTGAACTCATGCAAAAGATTTAGCGCATCGAGCCCTTGAAAGAATATTGTTTGCAGCTCCTGAATTGTAGTTTTCTAATCGACCCCAACTAGTTTGGAGAATGATTTATTGCAAAAAATGCAATAAACTCGAGACGTTGACCCTACGTTTAGAGATCCTGAACTGAGTGTGAGCCGACTCTAACTAGTTGGGAAAATATTGTATTGTAGAAAATGTTCCTGAATTTAAGTTCATATTTGTGTCTATGTGATGTGAGCACGAAGAGGTTATTAATTTTCACTGATGAATGTTAGCGCAGAAAGGGGAAAGAAAAGGAACAAGGACTCGAGCAATTATCCAACTTCTATATAAGAAACAGATGCATTTGTTCATGAAACATGTTTTATGTTCTTAGAATGTTCTCAACGTGCCAAGACTCGCGAAAAAAAAAAAAAGTGCCTTAAGATTTTTTTGTCCTCAAAATATATGTCCTCAAAATGTCTAATGTTGTCAACTTGATTGCTTTTTTTTTGATAAGTTTCAACTTGATTGCTTTACTAATGGTTAAACTATAAAGAGGATTACTCATCCAGAAAAAAACTATAAAGAGGACTGAAAGAGCTTAATACGAACGCATATTTTTCTAATCAAAATCAAACTGGTTACTAAAATAAAAAATTATCACCTGATTAGTCCGCCTGGATGATACAAATCTTACATCCATTCAGATGCACAAGCCAGATGCAAGATGGCTGATTTTCGTGGAGCCAAAGTTTGATCTGACCAGCCAAACTTCTCACAGGATTGCATCCTTGCCACTCAACTGCATTGCAAATATCCGATAATCTTCCAGATTCAACCGAAATGCTCTGAAGTAGGATCGCTCTTAATGGGTAAATATTCAATGATCTTCCTGATTCATTCGACATCTGGATCACCGAGTCTAATACCTGCCAAGATTTTTTCAATCTTGTGCTTATCAGATGGCAAGGAGCTGAATTCATCTGCTGTGATGGTCCTCCTGTGCCCATCCAAGCAAATCACGTGCCCACTTTCAACATATGATCTATAAGCCTCAAAGAGAGTATAGAAGAATTACCAAATGCTTCTCTAAAGGACTTCAAATCCAATCCATTCGCAGTTCTACGAGACAGCATCACAACATCCATGGCCATGTTATTGGCATCAACACAATTATGTTCACATAGATCGCCTACCCCATCCTCCAAATCCTGCACATAATTCATGTATCCTTTCATCTTCTTTGGCCTCGAAAACCTTATTCCACCAATATAGCTACAAGGCCAAAACTACAGAAAGGCCTGTTCTTCCACTACGTATAATTGTGCTCGCACTCAAAACCACTCTTGCAGTAACTGCTGATTTCGTAATGGTCATAAAGGGCATGGGATAGCATTCTTGAAGCCATTCTATAGAATTCGGCTGATTGGGTCTCAGAGGGTAGAGGGGACTCCCCTGGTGTGTACCTGTAAACACTACAATGTCAATTTCAAAAATTAAACACCAACTGTTTTCTCAACAGCTACAACTACTAGTTTACTTACGATATACAAAGTTTGGGGCCTAGTTCAACTTGCAAATCTTAGACCGATACATGGGTCGATTGTGCTTCAATAGTTAGGCTAACACTCTCTTCCCACATTTCTGGTGTTTGATGAAGGAGAGAAGATGTGAGGTACATACTCCAATTCTCAACCCCACATCACCCAACAATCTTAATCGCCTCATAAACCTCCTTGACATCATGGGCTCTCCCACAAGCCTCGAGCAACTCATCCTGAAAGGCCTGAACTCCAAAAGACACTCGATTCACACCCAACTCCATCAGTATATTCTCTCTCCCACGGTCCATTTCCATGCTTCTCTCACTCTGTGATTCAACTAAGCTCATATATGAAATTTGTATGTTCATGAAGGTTGCACATCTCTTCATGAACCCATGTATTCATCTCCGTCCAATCAACTCATAGTAGAATACTCACACTCAAACTCAATAGTTTAAAAATATTTCTCAAAGTTCCTACAAAATTCTTCTCTCACTAATCTCTTCTTGTTTAGAAGTGTGTGTTTTGTAGGCTTCGTAGGACTTCTATTTATGCTAGTTTAGAAGACTTGACATTTAACCAAACATTTAATGAACTTGTAATTAATTATACATAAATAGCATGTTAAATAAATTAGATTAACTGTTTTAGGTGAAGACCTTTATTAATTAAATTAGATTAATTGCATCAGGTAAAGACCTTTATTAATTACTTCACTGAAACTTCATTAAGACTTCATTTGGAGTTTCATTAAATTTAATAGCTAATAATTTTGAAACATAACTCCAACAGGTTGTATGATGGGGTTGTGATTGGAGAGTTGGGTGAGGCATTTTATCAAACAGTTGGTGGGGTACAAGTCAGCGCATTGATGATAGGACGCGAAAGCTTTAGAGGCTGGTTTTGTTGGGAATGATTGTCAAAATGAGACCGAATGTTGATCTGGGCATTGCAATGGTTAAGTTGACAATGAAGCAAGGCTAGATAAAGAGAAGAGGGTGGAAAGGGATAATAATGTGGAATGAGGAGTTCTAAGTCTTAGATTGTTTTTGTTAGATTTTAATCCCAAAAAGCTTGACAGATACTAATTTTGAGTCGCCTAATAATAAATTAGAATGAGTTACCCTTCATTCTCTCCTGTAATGTAACAATCTCATACAAAGGGGTACCCACTTATTGTTTTCAGTTATTTGTATGTATATATGTATGTTGTGACCCTCGATTGGATACCCTCCAACTGTTTTCAAGCATTTGCTTGTGTGTGTGTGAGTATGTTGTGACCCCCTTCCGTTGTCTTCCATGACACCATATGCAGAAGTAGAACAAAGGAGCACAAAGGCAAGGAAGATGGCAACAAACATATTGGCAACAGCATTGACTCTAACTTGTCTGATTTTGCTTATTCTTCTTCTTTGTACTCACACACACTCACATTCGTCACCACCAGCCATCTATGCATTTGGAGACTCAGCTGTGGACACTGGTAACAACAATTTCTTAGACATAGAAGCAAAAGTGAATTTTGCACCTTATGGCATAGATTACCCAGGCGGAACCACAGGCAGATTCACAAACGGCTATACATTTGTTGATTTCATGGGTAAGCCACATGCAACAGCATATATATAGATATTAATTGCCAGTTTTGTTCTTGCATGGTGTGAATTAAGCCTGGCTGATCTAGGACTTGTAAAGGAAGGTGTCACTCATTCCGGTTTAAGAACCAAAAATGCAGAAGTTTTTTGTATGTAACACTTTTTAACATTTTGAATTTGTATGCAGCTCAATGGTTTGGCCAAAGCTTCCCAGCCCCAATCATGGATAGTCAGAGTACAGAGGGTGCAAACACTAAAGGTTTTAACTATGCATCTGGTTCAGCTGGTATACTCCCCAAGACCTGTGAAGTTACTGTAAGAAATACCGTCTCTTGTCCCTACATCTATTATTTTTCTGTTCACAAATCACACTCACAAGTCTTCAATGTCTACATAAGAGTGATAACCTTATCTAGTCAATACCTTTAAGAACCCTCAACATGATAGAGGTAGGAGCTCATCCTAGATCTGTACCATAAATTTGTCTAGGAAACAAGCACCTTTAATTTGACAAATGATAAATTATGCATCTACATACCTTGAAATAAATCCCATCTGAATGCCACATGTTGTAAACAGATTTTGAACAAACCACATGACAATTTGACAAGAGGTCATTGCTTGTTGTACAGATAAATGCTCGGTCTGTCGAAAATGGCAGTGTGAGTTCATACTCTGAGAGCAGTCACTTTGTGTAAATAATGCCAATAATTAGGTTTGTATCCAGTCTATTCCTACTAACACTCTTGATTAACTGCAATATATGGGCAATATAATAACCCATTAAAAGTGCCTGAAGCCTTCCTTTGTTAGGAGGGAAGGGAAGAGAAGAGAGGTTAGGGAGGAGGATGGAGCAAACTTACATTGTTTGGTTGAAGAAAGGATAAGAGGACGGATGTGGCATCCCTCCTAGGCCACCATTTTATTTCCAATCAAAATCCGAAGGAAGAGGAGAGAGAAACAAGGATTGTTGAATAAAATGTAAAAGATGTTATTAACATCATTTACATATATTTAAGGGTAAAGAGAGTTTAGACTACAGAGATAGGAAAGAAATAAAATAATAATATCATTTCTTTGCTTCCTTTCAGTTCAACCAAACAAAAGAAAAGATGGATACACACACATACATTTTTTCATATGGGGACTTGAACAAGACACCACTAAATTACAGTCTTTGGTGGCGGTATAAGGTTCTATGAAACTAAATCTTACAGTAATTCAACTAGGAAAAAAAAAAAAAAACCTTATAGTAATTTAACCAACGGGCCAGTGGCCTAGCGGTATCAGTCTCTTACTTCCCAAAGGGAGGTCAAGGTTCAAGTCTTAGAAGAGACATGCGTGTGTGAGTACCAAAAAAAAAAAAAAAAAAAAATTATATGCTAGAGTCAGAAAATGTAAATCAAAGATCAAAAAGGAAAAATGAGGGTAGAAAATGCATGTATAACCTGAAGAGTATAGAGCTATTTGTTCATTTAACAACTTGGTTTGTTTTTACAGAAAAACCCATTATGCTTGGGTAGACAGGTGGATTTATTTAAAAAGTCTGTTAAAGAATACCTGCCATCCTTGCAAATGTACAACAATAAAGCAGCTCAACTGTCAGGCCATATAGCAAAGTCTCTTTTCATTGTTCATATGGGCAGTGATGACTATCTCTTGAACTATTTCGTTCCTAATGGAACTACAGCCCAACAATACAATCCTGAACAATTTGCCGATCTTCTAGTTACAGAATTAGGAAAAAGTTTACAGGTAATTCAATTCTTTAGCACTTGTTATCAGCAATTTTATTTTCTAATCTTGAGAAATTGAAGAAAAATTCTAAATTGAGATGACAAAATGGAATAGAAATTTAGTGCTTTAGATTGTATGAAAAGGCTTGGTGTTGTTCTAGATTTTATGATACTATTATACATGGGCAGACTACCAAACCGCGTAAAACTTGCTTTACGTGGTTTGGTAGTCTGCCCTCAGTTCTTTCATGCTCAGAGGAGGAGGAGGAGGAGAAGAAGAAGTGAAGTTAAACATATGTATTTGCAATCACCATCTTTTTGGTTATATACTTTTGTAGGATTTATACAATCTGGGAGCCAGGAAACTTTCAGTGTTTGGAATCAGTCCACTGGGTTGTTTACCTTGTATCCTAGATAAGATGAAAACTGAGACGAGGTGCGTCGAGAGTCTGAATGATGTAGTCAAAGTTTTCAACACCAAGCTTGAGGCCAAGCTTAAGGAATTGGGCTCTACTCTCAAAGGCTCAACATTCATTATGGGAAATATTTACACTATTGCTCGAGAAATTTTGGAAAATCCCAGTAGCTATGGTTAGATATTATGTTATTACTATTTTATTTTTCCTTTTTAATGTTATTTACGATGATTGTTGTTGTATCTTGAAAACCCATCGAAGTTAAGCCATTCTCAGCAGGCTTTAAAGAGACTAGGAAACCATGTTGCGCGAGTGGAGATGGAACAGGACCATGCATGAGGAATCAAGTTCCTTGCCAAGATAGGAAGTCATATCAGTTTTGGGATTTTGGTCACCCAACAGAAGCATCAAATTTGATTTTCGCAAGAAAATGTTTTAATGGCACTGGAGTGTGCACTCCAATGAATATGGTTGAACTCATGCAAAAAAATTAAAGTGTCAAGCCTTGCAAGCTTCAACATGTTCGCTCAAAGCTCCTGAATTGTAGTTCTACTCGACCCCAACTAGTTCAGAGAATTATTTACAGTAAAACACGCACAAAACTTAAGATGTCGGCCTTTATAAGCTCTAATACGTTCAGGACTCCTGAAATCAGGCTTCGTTTGGATAAGTAGGATAGAAAAGAGAAGAAAAAATAACATTACTTATGAAAAAAAAAAAAAAAAAAAACTAGTTGGTAAAAATTTTATTGTGAAAATTGCTTCTAAATTGTACTTTAATTTCGTTTCTCTCACTCTCATATATATACGTGTGTGTCTGTTATGTGAACACGAAGCGATTCTTAATCTTCACACTGACGAATGTAAGCACAAAAAGGGAAAAGAAAAGAAACAAATACTCAAACAATTATCCAACTTCTTAATAAATAACAGATGCATTTGTTCATTAAACAGATTTCATGTTCTTAGGCTGTTCTCAAAGTACACATATCAAAAAAAGGATGTTCTCAAAGTGCAAAAGACTTAATCTGTACAATATATGTTCTCAAATTGCTTACTCTTGTCAACTTGATTGCTTTACTTATGGTTAAACTATAAAGAGGACTGAAAGAGCTTAATATGAATACAGATTTTTCTAATCAAAATCAAACTGGTTGCTACATGTAAAAATTATCACCTGATTAGTCCAGCCTGGATGATGAAATATTAAATCCATTCAGATGCACAAGCCAGATGCAGGAAGGGAGGTTTTAGTGGAGACAAAGTTTGATTTGACCACACAAACTTCTTACAGGATAGCATCATTGCACTCAACTGCATTGCAAATATCTGATGATCTTTAAAAACATCCACTTGATAGATGTTGAGGCCAGCAATCTTAATGACATCCAAAATTCTTTGAAGTAAGATTGCAGTTTATGGCGCTATGGCCCGAAATGCAAGGGATATTAACTCATTAGAGAGGAGGAAACCATCCGGATCACTGAGTCTAATAAATGCCAAGACTTTTTCAATCTTGTGCTTGTCAGATAGTATGGAGCTGAATTCATCTGCTGTTATGGTCCTCCTATGCTCATCCAAGCAAATCACATGCCCACTTTCAACATATGGTTTATAAGCCTCACAAAGAGAGAGAACAAAAGAGTTACCAAATGTTTCAATAAAGGACTTCAAGTCCAAGCCCTTTGAAGTTCTAAGAGACAGCATCACAACATCCATGGCCATGTCCTTGGCATCAATGCAATTATTCTCACATCGATCCACCACACCATCCTCCAAATCCTGCACATAATTCATGTATCCTTTCATCTTCTTTGGCCTTGAAAACCTCACTCCACCAAGAAAGCTGGCCGATCCAAGGCCAAAACCATAGAAAGGCCTGTTCTTCCAGTACGTATAATTGTGTTTGCACTCGAAACCACTCTTGCAATAACTGCTGATTTCGTAATGGTCGTAAAGAGCACCGGGAAGCATTATTGAAGCCATTTTATAGAATTCGGCTGATTGGGTCTCGGATGGCAGAGGGGACTCCCCTGGTGTGTACCTGTAAACACTCCAATATCAATTTCAAAAATTAAACACCAACTGTTTTCTCAACTACTACAACTACTAGTTTACTTACAATATACCAAATTTGGTGCCTTGTTCAACTTGCAAATCATAGACCGATACATGGGTCGGCTGTGCTTCAATAGTCAGCCTCAAACTCTCTTCCCACATTTCTGGTGTCTGATGAGGGAGAGAAGATATGAGGTCCATACTCCAATTCTCAACCCCACATGACCCAACAATCTCAATTGCGCTGTAAACCTCCTTAACATCATGGGCTCTCCCACAAGCCTTGAGCAACTCATCCTGAAAAGCCTGAACACCCAAAGACACTCTATTCACACCCAACTCCATCATTTCCTTCATTTTCTTAGCATCAAATGTTCCAGGGTCCATTTCCATACTTATCTCGGTATTCGATGACAACCCGAATTTCAAACTCAACGCCTCGAGGACCAAGGAAACGAGCCTTGGCGACACGAGTGAAGGCGTGCCACCTCCAAAAAAGACCGTTTCAAGGGGTGGGTTGTAGTTGAAATCCAATTGGGTTGCTTTAATTTCGCGGCAGATGAGTTCAACGTAGTTGGAAATTCGTGGGTCGTCATCGGTCTGGCTTGAGGACGAGCCAAGAGCGACAATGGGGAAGTCACAGTAGTGGCAGCGTTTCCGACAGAAAGGCAGGTGGACGTAAGCCGAAGATGGAGGCAGTTTGTGTGATGGGGTTGTGATTGGAGAGTTGGGTGAGTCATTTTGTCGAACAGTTGCTGGGGTATGACTCAGTGCATTGGTGAAAGCTCGTGAAAGCTTTAGATGGCTAGTTTTGGTGGGAATGGTTGTCAAGATGGGAATGAATGTTGCTCTGAGCATTGCAATGCATAAGTGGACGACGAAGGGAACAAAGGCTAGAGAGAGAAGAGGACGGAAGGGGCCAAATAATGTGGATTGAGTTCTATGGCTTCGTTTCAGGAAGTAGCAGGATGAGAAAAAGTTTGGAGTTTTTATTTTATTTATTATTATTATTTTTTTTAAGGGATGTCTACTTGCAAAATTAACGGCACGCTCAGTTCAATTTGCTGATACAATATATATATATATATATATATATATATATATATATAAACTGAATCATTTCTGAAAGCCATTTTTTTTAAATTCAGTTTTAAAAAATATTTATTTTTAGATAATTGTTTTTTATAATTCTATAAAAACATATATATATATATATATTAATTATTAATAATTATTTTATGAGCGACAAATAAATAGAGCCTAAAACTTTAGGATAACTCCAATTAACTTGTAGTCAGCATTTTTTTGCAAGTTTTGATAAAAAAGAAAGCTCGTAAGAGAGATTGTCCTAATTTCATGCATTTGGTTAAGTTCGAAAGAGATTATTTAAATCATTGTATAACCATTATATACACTGTGTACATAAATAGTTTATATATATAGTTTACACTATTTTCGTGTATAGATATGGTTTACACTATTTTTTTGTTTACTCAGTAATAGGGCATGTGGTAAGAGGGACTACATCCAATTGGAGCCAACTCAAGAAATTTTCCGGTAACGAATTATTAAGTGCTCTAACGACACCACCGTAATCGACCAAATACAAGATTCACAACCAAAATACTAATAAACCAAAACTTTTACTTTTCTAGATTATTGACCTTCTTCAAAATTTAAATAAATGTACAATAGCAATGGCAACAGTTTTCTTAATCTTTTACAAAGTTCGCAAAGTCAAACGCAATTTGAATCCTAGGTAGTCATTAGGTAAGAAATAAGAAAGAAAATGGCACAAACAAAACCACTATATACTACTAATATATAATTATTGTTATGTTACATGTCAGAAAACTCTCAACTCCAAAACATGGATTACAAAACTGTGTTGAACATCAAGCTTTTTCTTACACAAGGTACTTCACCATGTAAGGACCTTCGAGCTCATATCCCAATTTCCTATAGTAGTGACGCGTTCCGACTCCTGAAATAACAGCCATCTTTGTTGACCTATGCTCCCTACGAGCAATCCGCTCTGCCTCCTCCATCAGCAGAGTTCCATAACCCTGCGAACATCAACGAGAAAGAAAAGAAAAACAATCCAGTAAGAGACAAATTTACAAATAAATTCACCTTCATTTAAGATTTTATGGTGTCAAAACGAAATGAAATGCACCCACAGTAGTAGGATATATAACGACTTGAATAGGGTGACTTAATGGCAACCAGTAGAATTACACTTCGATTAATTTTACGTTTATCCAACATAAAAAACAATACATAATTACCTGGTGTTGCAGCTTATCAGCATCCCGCCCATGAACTGGAACTGCAGTCCCATAAACATGGAGTTCACGAACAATAGAACATTTCCCAATAAGTTCTGGGCAAGTCGTGTTCCGGCCACATTTTCGCAAGCGCAGTAACCCAACAAGAATATCCTGCACCCAGAAAGGGATAGTGGCACATCCTATGTCAGCAAGGCCAATTTTTTTTTTTTTCTTTTTCCGAAAGTTAAGCAAGGCCAAGTTGCTCCAATAAAAACCTATACTTTTGTTTTTTTTTGGAAGCAAACAAGACAAAGCAAGGCACTAGAACCCCGACTTAAACTACAAATTACCAATAACGGCAAGAGACATGCTTGGTTGTGGATCAATATGATTAAAAAATTCATCTACAAACTATTTACGTGAAGACCAAGTTACCCAAGATGATGATTACAGTCAGAGGTGTAAGGTTCTCAATAGTCATTACCCAGGAAGATAATGATCAGCTACATTTAGATGTTACAAGCATGAAGAAAAAACAGGCTTGTGTACAAAAAATCTTTTTTTTTTCTTTTTTTCTTGAACTTGTTAAGAACATGAACAAACTACTCCAGTGCAAAATATGTTTGATATTAGACCAAAAAAAAAGAATGCAAATTTGCTTTTGGAAAAGAAACCACACTGATGTAATTGGGGTTGCATGTTTTGACATCACACTGATGTAATTTCATTGATACAAACTTCAAATAATTTGGATTTTCGAATAATAGTTTTCATAGGATTCTGTGTCTGGAAATAAGCAAACTAAACTCCACTCGAAAAAAAGGAATACGGGAAAAAAAAGTGATAACTTCAATGAGAACGTCTGAGCTTCCATTTCATCAACCAATAGCAGCAGCGAAGATGAAACAAGCAGCACTCATTTCTGCTTTCGTACATTGGCACTAAAAATACACCTTAGACATGAATATGCGTACACTCGAAGATCCACAGCAACATGATTCCCAGGATTAGAATCAGATTATCTTTCAATATATTTTCAAGTAAAACTTTTTATATGAAATCTAATAAGTTAAAACTGAAATGATGTCTAGATCCTTTTGCAATGTCTCAAATCAACAATGGAGCATGCAAACATGGTCAATGGGCATGTACTATAAACAACAACCAGTGGAGGTGTACACACATACACAGAGAGGTAGAAAAAAGAAAAGGGGCAGATCCAGATACCTGGCGTGTATCTTCATATGAAAGAAAAGTTTCCCAACCCTCATTTGCTGTATAATCACGCCGGACTAACTCAACTTCTTCTGGCTTTATTTTGTGGTGAATGTCCTGAATATATAAAATTGACAAAATTTTCTCTGTTACACCCTTTAGTACATACATGGTAAGTGAGTATGACAACGTTCACTTACCTGGATTCCAGCTTCACGTGTTCGAACATCACGACACTTCAAGCCCAAGTCATCCATCCGAGCTAAAGCAAGCTCGCGAAGGTTCCCTTTTTCAACCCCAGAAGTAACTAGAGGCATGGGAATATCTCGCTGAACTCTATAAACACGTGTCCAAGGGGGTACCATGGCTAGAATCCTGGCTACAATGTCCACAAGCTGCTCAGGTGGGTAATTTCTGTATCTGCACATGGAAAAAAAATAGTACTTACCACAAGCTGCAATCCATCATCAGCTTATATAATAGTTCAAAACGGTGCTTACAACGCATATATCTTAAAATCAATAATAAGAAAATTGATCCGTTCAAATGACCCCCAAAAAAGAAGAAGAAAACATTATGTCTATAAATGAATCTAAAATGAGTACCTGCCAGTTTTCCAGAGCTCATAAAGCCCCGTTCCACGAATTACAAGAGTGGGATAGATCTTAAGCCCATCAGCTCTGAATGAAGGACTTTCAAAGAACTCCTTAAAACTTTCCAAGTCCCTTTCAACCCCAACATTTGGAAGATCAGGCATCATATGAGCAACAACCTACAACAAAATGCATGAAAATTAGCATCATGAAAGCAAAGACAAAAGGATGTCTGAGTAACTCTATGTTGTACAGTATTGTATGAGTTGTCACCTACCCCTCATTACCATATATAGAATTACCATGTATAGGGTTTACTTGTTCTCCACTCACATACTCCCGTAGCTTCTCCTATATAAGCACCATTGTGTTACTCAATAACATATACGTTTTCATATATTCTCTCTCTCTCTCTCTCTCTCAACATGGTATCAGAGCAGAAATCAATCCCTCTTTAATTTTTTTTTTTTAAGTCTTATTCAGACTCCAATCTTCATTCCATCTCGGCTTTCTCTCAATCTCTTCTCGGCGATCTCTCCTCGGTGATCTCAGCTCGTCTCGGCAATCTCTCTCGGATCCTCCTCAGCTCTCTCCTCAATAATTTCTCTCGGGTTCACCTCGGCTAGAGCTTGGTTCTCTTATCTCGGCTCCCTCTCGCTACTATATCTCATTTGTTCGGTAACTCTTGTGATGGATATCAAGGAATCCCATCTTCTTGGGTCAATCACCAGCACCAAACTGAAAGGCTCGAACTACCTTCAATGGTCTCGAGCAGTAGAGGTGTTCTTACGGACTCGAGGAAAATTGTCCTATCTTAAATCAACCAAACCCACCAGTGATGAAAAGATTATTGAGGCTTGGGAGAAAGAAGATGCTCCGATTATGACTTGGTTATGGAACAGCTTGGAGCCTGAGATCTTCAACAATGTGTCATTCTTAGAATCTGCCAAAGATATCTGGGAAAATCTCAGGGTCATGTATTCTCGTATTTATTAGTTGTACCAAGATATATTTAGTCTCCAGCAGGGAGATCGTTATGTTGAAGATTATTACTCAGAACTGAAGGGCATATGGGAAGAATTGAATGTCTACCAACCATTGACTATAGACATAGAATAAAAAAAAGGGCACAGGGAGGAGTTTCAGGTGGCAAAATTTTTATCTGGACTTAAACCTGAACTCGCTCCGATCAGTTCGCAAATTTTGTCTGGCAAGGAGATACCCACATCAAGTGAGACATTTGCTCGAGTTCGAAGAGCTTTTCTCTTGTTGTTCCTACTGAGCGACATTATACTTTCCGTGGAGGACGAAGGGGCAGAGGTCCTTCCAACCCCGGTCGTGGTACTCATGGCGATAGAGGGGGTCACAGCAGCAAGAACTGTACTCATTGTGGCCGAAACAATCACTTTATTGACTTCTGCTGGGCTCTTCATGGCAAGCCAACTTGGGCTAATCAAGCTTTGATTTCGGAGGAGACTACTCCCACTCCTGCAAATGAACAAGTCGTTCTCTCCAAAGCCGAATATGATTCTCTGGTAAAGCGTAAGCATGCAAATCAGCCCTCCTCCACCGCTACTATCGTTACTTCAGGTAATACGTGTCTCCATGCTCCATCTTTATAATATTTTTCATGTTTTCTCACCGTCGGTTGCTACTATAGAGAATGGTGCCAAATCACCTGTTCATGGAATTGGTACCTTCCGCACTTCGGGTCTCACTTTTTCATTAGTTTTATATATCCCTCAATTTTCATTCAATTTATTGTCAGTTCGCAAAATCATATTAGATTTAAATTGCTCAGTTACTTTTTCTCCTTCTGGTTGTGTCTTTCAGGATTTCAAGACGAAAAAGACGATTGGTGGGGGTTTGAGAAGGATGGTCTTTACTACTTCCAGCCAACTACTGCTCCAACAGCCCTACATTCCACCTCCTCTTCAGCTTACCAATGGCATTGCCGCCTTGGACATTCCTCTTCAAAAAATCTTCGAGCCTTGGTCCCTTCTTTAGTTGATTTTTCTAAGTTTAATTGTGCTACTTGCGAACTTAGTAAACATCGTCGGGCTACTTTTGAGTCTTGTTTTGATAATAAAAATTTAAAACCTTTTGAGTTAGTACATTTGGATGTTAGGGGACCAACTCGTACTACTTGTTTATTTGGTGCTCGTTATTTTGTGTCATTTATTGATGATTATTCACATTTAACTTGGGTTTATATTTTTTAAGATAGATCTCAAGTATTCTTTGTTTTTCAATCTTTTATGCTGAAATTCAAAATCAGTTCGATGCAAAATTACTTGTTCTTAGAACTAAAAATGCCCTTGAATATAAACTTAAAGTTTTTCAAAAGTTTCTTGAGTCTAGAGGCATTATCCATCAAATATCTTGTGTTGATACCCTCAAAAAAATGGAGTTGCTGAACGGAAGAATGGCCCACTCCCAGCTATTGCTCGTGCCTTAATAATTCAAATGCATGTTCCAAAACATTTTTGGGCAAATGCAGTTCTGGTTGCTGCTTATCTTTTAAACCGCATGCCTTCTAGGGTCCTTCAAGGAAAATCACCCTTCTAAATGATGTTTTCTGACAAAAACCCTTTTTCCATCCCTCCAAATGTGTTTGGGTTTGTCTGTTTTGTTCATAATGAAAGCCCGGGACGAGATAAACTTGATCCTTGTGCTCACAAATGTATTTTCTTATGTTATTCTCGCACTCAAAAGGGATATAAATGTTACAGTCCAACTCTTCATAAATAATTTGTGCGTGCAGATGTAACTTTCTTTGAGGATGTTCCTTATTATTCCCAGGAAGGCAGTCGTCTGGAGGACTCTGTTCTTCAAGAATCTGTTCTTCTAACTCCAGTTTTTTATTCTGGCATCCCACCAGCTCTTCGTGTCTATACTCGTCGCCGGAAAAGAGTAGTTAATCATGTTCCAAAGACTAAAGTAGTAAACCTAGCCTTGCCACTTCCACTAGTCGTTTCAACGCTTGGAGATTCTTCCATCTCTTCAGACTCTAATCTTGATCAACATATTGTTGTTTGGAAAGGTAAACTGTCTTGTACCAATCACCTTATCTCCAATTTTGTATCGTATAATAAATTGTCCTCCTCCTTTCAAGCTTTTTCTTTGCCATTATCCTCTATTGCTCTTCCTAAGTTCTACAGGGAGGCACTTTCTCATCCAGGGTGGAGGAAAGCTATGGAAGAAGAAATAAACGCTTTAAAATTGAATCATACTTGGGACCTTGTTCCTAAGCCTGCTGATACTCAGGTTGTTGGTTGTCGTTGGGTTTTTACTGTTAAACATAAGCCTGATGGTACTGTTGACCGTCTCAAAGCTCGACTTGTTGCTAAAGGCTACACTCAGACTTGTGGCCTTGATTATACTAAGACGTTCTCTCCTGTGGCCAAACTGAATTATGTTCGTGTGATAATCTCTCTTGCAACTAACCTAGACCAGCCACTTCATCAATTTGATGTTAAAAATGCCTTTCTGTACAGTGATCGTAGTGAGACAGTCTATATGACTCAACCACCTGGGTTTGAGTATAAAGGGGAGTGTGTGTGTCATCTCAAGAAGTCTATCTATGGCCTCAACCAGTCCCCTTGTCCATGGTTGGATAAGTTCAGTAAAGCAGTGGTAGCTCATGGTATGACAAGAAGCCAAGCTGGCCACTCGCCTTTTTAAGAAAACGAAACGTGATATTGTGATTCTTGTGGTGTATGTAGATGATATCGTTATCACTGGCAGTGACAAAGATGGGATACAAGTTCTAGCTTCCTTACTAAGGATTTGGGCAAACTTCAGTATTTTCTGTGAATTGAGGTGGCTCGGTTGAAGCAAGGCATTTGTCTTTCTCAGCGGAAGTATACTCTTGATCTCTTACAGGATACTGGATATCTTGGTTCGAAACCTGTAATTACACCCATGGAGACTAATGTAAAACTTAAGGTGGATGATGGTGACCCACTCGATGATCCAGAGATGTATCGGAGACTTGTAGATAAACTTATTTATCTCACAATCACTCATCCAGACATCTCCTATGTAGTCAGTGTTGTGAGCCAGTTCATGACCAGTCCTCGGGTACCTCACATGGAGGCAATTGTATGCATCTGCTCCAAGACGTGGTCTGCTTTATTAATCTTCTGGACATCTTTGGATTGAGGGATACACAGATGCAGATTGGACGGTTCTCCTTCTGATCGACGGTCTACCACGGGTTACTGCACCTTCATAGGAGGAAATCTAGTACCTTGGAGGAGTAAGAAATAGTCAGTTATGGCTCGTTCCAGTGTTGAAGCAGAGCATCGTGCCATGGCACACACTGCCTGTGAACTTACTTGGTCGAAAACTCTTTTACAGGAACTTGGGATTTCAGCCAGTACCCAATTCCTCTCTATTGTGACAATCAGGCAACTATTCATATTGCTAAAAATCCAGTCTACCATGAGAGGACTAAACACATTGAAGTACATTGCCATTTCATTCGATCTAAAGTTGACTCGAATGAGATTGTTACACCTTTTGTTCCTTTTAGTAGACAGCTGCCAAACATTTTCACTAAGGCGCTTCCCAAGAACTCTATTGATTCCATATGTAACAAGTTGGGAGTAATTGACATTTACTCTCCAGCTTGAGGGGGAGTGTTGTACAATGTTGTATGAGTTGTTATACGTGTACAGTTAGCATTGTACGAGTTGTCACACGTGTACAGTTAGTATTGTATGAGTTGTCACCTACCCCTCATTACCATATATAGAATTACCATGTATAGGGTTTACTTGTTCTCCACTCACCTACTCCCGTAGCTTCTCCTATATAAACACCATTGTATTATTGTATTACTCACTCGATAACATATACGTTTTCATATATTCTCTTTCTCACTCTTTCTCTTCCAACACTCTAAAAAGGAAAAAAGAAAAAATGATTAGCACGAAAATTTTATGCTAAGGTCCCCATTGTACAAAAATCACTCTAAGGAGAAAGACATCAAAAAGTGGCTTTATTAGAAAAAAACTGCGGGCTACGAGGATACATGTGCCTCCTCTTGTTCTAGAGAAAAAGAATAAAAACATCTTGCTCTTGAATTCATAAAAACATTTTTTTTTCACTAAATTAATGGAGAGCATGCCTTCATTTGGACTTGATTTATAAGAAGTCAAGTTTAAGCTGCAAAGCTAAATTTTAAGGTAAATTTGTCAACGAGGTCCCAAAATCATTTTATGAGGAAACAACTTAGGTTGAAATAAAATTGAACCCATGGAAGCTAAATTCAGATTTGCAATTAAGGGACATATTTATAAGATAGGACAGGGTTGCACCTTAAAACCAGCATCCTTTGCCAAGCAAAAGCAGTCAGCCACAGCAGCTACTGTATGTCCTCTATTAGTGTCACGGGCAACATCCTCATATGTGCTTTGAACTCCAATCTCCAGTCGTGTACAACCATAAGTAAGCATCTGCCTCAAATGAGGTCCAAGACAATAATCTGGCCTCCTGATAGTTTTTAAGAAACAAAAGACATCACATCACTAATATAATAAATATAGCATCTATATATATATATATATATATATATATAGCATTCCAAATTGTGGTAAGTAAATATAACACATGACACTTTTAATAAATAAATAAATAAATAAAGCATCTAGAATAAGGGAGAGTGGAAACAAGTTCTGTTTTCAGATAGTGAAACTAGATCAATCCATCTAGAAAGACCTAGATAACCACCTCTCCTTCTTACCCTCAAAAAGAACAACCATAAAAGATAAAAATAAAAGAAACCTGACTTCATGCATACTTATATAATGTATCAAAGTTTTAAAATTTTTAAATATACGATAATTTTATAGGGCAAGAATCATCTGGATGCAACAAATTTCAAAATATGTAGTTTGCATGGTTACAATTATGTGTGTGACAAAGCTTTAGTCAAGTAGATCACTTTGGTAGGATCAATTAGAAAGGCCAGTCTAACTAAAATGCAAGTTCAGCAGTGGGTTCTGGTGGATTGAACTTTCCATAATATGGAACAGAAGTAGTAACTCACGTTTCAATAGTCATCCCAATGCACTTTGTTGCACCGTGCTCAGAGTAGGAAACTGCCTCTTCAACATTGGCAGAAGTGTGCCCTGACAAAGCATCATGAAGGTTCCTTATAAAGTAATCACGATATTCTGATGGCAGTGACATGAAAGTACCGCCCATCAGGATGAATTCAACCTGCACAATAAATGAGCATATCAATAAAGAACAAGAATGTTTGACTAAATCATGAGGATTTGCCCAGTTGAAATTTAGAAGATCAGAATATATGGAAAAATCCAAACCTTATCTACACTATGACCCAATCGCTTCAGCTGATCTATCCTGCTTCTGGCCTGGACATACGGGTTATATCTGAAACCAAGAAGGTAACAGTTAATGATTTTCCTATAGGATATACAATTTCAGATACATTATTCACACAAATATCAGGAAAAAGAAAAGGGATGGCAATGGGGCAGGTTCGGTTCCCCCCTCCTCTCCCTACCCTATTTAAGAAAACATACCCACACCCATCCCGGTCCCATCTGAAAAAACTCCCATCAATGTCCCCGTTTTAGATACCCAGCCCACCCCCATCTCTGCCTCTGTCATTCACCCAAATACTAAAATGTAAAGGGTACGATTACGAATTTATATATAAATTGGGAGGGGCTGGGAGGGAGGGCCTTTCCACAACGCTGCACGGTCTTTTTCTCCCCCCAATACCCATGCCCCCAATAAACTCCCTCAACCCTATCCCAATATCCATCGGGGTGGGTAAATTGCCATCCTGACTATGGACTAATAAATAACTTTGGCAATTGGCTGAACCTTGAATCCCTCTTTCAAGAATGCATTGCTGCACTATGACATTTATAGTGCCAGTTTTCACAAAAATTCGAATACTGCAAAATGGTTAAAATTCCCCAATACCTTATTGTCCCCCCTTTCTCTTCTAATCCACACTATATCCACCTTAGGAGATGCCTCCTATTCAACCATCACTATATTGCCAAAAACATGTTGTGAGATTCAAATTTATAAATGATCCTATAGGTAGAGCCTAGAAGAAAACAACTATTGGGATGACACCCGTATCTGAAAACAATTTAAGTAAATTTTAAAACCTACAAATAGAAAATACATAGAGAAGCAATAAGTTAATATAGAGAGATGCAATTACCATAAATTTGACTTACTATCAAGTAGCATAAATATCAACCTTTCAGTAGCTTCACTTATCAAAAGAGATTTCTATGAAGGCATTGAAATTTTTCAAGCACGATCTACAGATTTTTTAAAATCAATTTGACTTGGGAGAAAATCTTTTTCTCCTCCTTCAAAGGAAATTGCATAGAGTAACACGATTCCACACAAGATCACTACATTAGTTCCCACACAAATGACCATAAATGCAACTAACAATGCAACTCAAAATTAGAAATTAGATAAATTTAACAAATCCCTTGAGAAACAAATTACTTACTTTCTTGTATCGAAACTCATAATTTTAAAAATTTCATAGTAGCAATAGTTTCTTTAATAAAGAAGTTCATATATATATATATATATATATATTTGAGGTGTTACTTTCAACAATTTTTATTATTAGAAAGAAAAAGAGAGAGAGTACTTTTTGTAGCTACTTACCCTCAGTATAGTGTATTTATGTGCGGGAGCATGTTAAGGGGCATTTGCAGTATTTATATTCAAGAGTGGAATTGAAAATTTCCTTTTTCTTGATAGGCAAATGATAATCTTCCATGAGGGTGCGAAACAATTGCACATGAAGCATACAAGAGCAGAAAAGAAGGGAAAATATTCCTAACTATACATCCACTATACCAAGGAAACAGAATAGTTTAGTTTTCCATATAATCCAAAGAGTTATACATGTGTGTATATGTGATATATATATAACATAGATAGATTTAGCTTTCAAATTGGCAATAATTTGTCTGCTAAAGCACACCTCTTGGCTCTTGCACGAATTGTGAAAATGTGAAATTCATAGCATTATATTCAGGAAAGAAAAAAAAAAATCCATAGCATTAGTACTCAGAAAAACCCTAACCTGGCACGAATTGCGCGCATACTGGTGGGCTCGTATCCAGTGTAGGACTGCGTACTGTACTCGAAATCCGAATCAGGACCACCAGGACAGTACACGCATATGTTACCGGTGGTGGCGATGTGTGGACACCGGTGGGGCTTCGACATGACGGCCACGACGGCGATGCCGGAGGCGGTTCGGACCGGCTTGGCTCGGAGTTTGGGGAGCAGGGCATCACGTTCTGACTCCGGCAGAGCCGCAATCATCTCAACAAGCTTGGGAGCGCGAGCCAGGCCGTACTTGCGGCACGCGGCGGATTTGAGGGCGTTGAGGTCGACGTTCTCGCCTCTGCGTGAAAGGTCCACCATGTTGTTGACGATCTCTGCTATGGCTTTGACACGGGCTTCTTCTTCGCTGAGTCCCTGCGAAATGACGCCGCCGCGACCCGGCCGAGGGAGCTTCCGAGGCTCGGCCACCACCGCCGTCGCCATGAGAGAGAGAGAGGAGAGAGAAACAGAGAAAATAGAGAGAGAGATATATTTTGATATATTAGTTCTTATGTAGAATTAATTTAAAAAATGGGGTATGTTATTATGTAATAAGCGTCTAAGCTTGTCAAAAATTACAATTTTAAATTTTGTAGGGGTAAGTATAACAAATATTAATTGTTGAATATATATTTTTTTTATCGGAAAGTAAGATTGACAACAATAGTTTGCTTGAATGATTTTTTATAGGTTAGTCCTCTCTTTAAATAAATAAATATATATATATATATATATATATTTTTTTTGGGTACTCATATATTTAAGAGAGATCAATATTTGTGTAATAGTGAAGATTGAAATTAATAACCTTTATTCATTTTTTTTTTTTTTTGTATTTACTTGTGTGCGTTTGTGTTGAGTGATTGGATACTAAATAACAGTTTCAGGCCAAATACTACATTTGGGTATGTTCAAACAAATTAAACAATATTTGATCTTCATTTTTTCTTGTGCTAAAAAAAATATATCACTTTTTCTTTTCATGAACTTCAATAATAAAATTCCCCGTAGTCATAAATCTAACATCATCCCTTAAATCATAAATGGTAGATTATATATCATGACATGAAATATGAAAATATTAAAAAATGATAAATAATTCAATTTGTCAGAGCAAATTAAATTTAGATAACTATCTATTATCTAAAACATTATATTATTCTATTTGTAGCTTACTAATTTAACCAATAAATTATTAATTAGAGTGCTTGCCTGTGTTATACGCTTATAGCACGACTCATTCTATCACATTTTCTCAATTTCCTTATTCTTTTAATCCAACATGATCAAAAAATATTTTTGTTAAGTAAAATATTTTCACACAAATATTTTATCTAAAGGTGAAAAGTTATATTAAAATATTGTAACATTATATTTGAAGTTAGAAAAGTTAAATTAAATTAACTGTGTGTATATATATATATTTTTATTGACAAAAAACTCACACACTACTTATTTACCTATTTTAGTTATTTGAAAACTCAAATGTCCATCGTTCATTATGAGAGAGAGATAAAATATTACAAGGACACTTTTGGAGCATTACCCAACTCAGTAGTCTAGATGGAATGACGTCGAACTTTCGAAATGAGTGTCTCCATCTTTCGTGCCTTGAATGAGTGTCTTCAGCTCCCGAATGGTGTGTACCTTTCATGACCTAAAGGATGGGTGTGTCCTCTTTCGTGCCTGAATGAGTGGTTCAACTTTTCGAATGGGTTTGTGCGGCTCGTGCCTGAATGAGTGCGCGTGTCTTCACCCCGCTAAAATATAAAAAGAGAAAAAAAAAAAAAAAAAAAAAAAAAAATGGTTATCTGTATCATTTCTATAAATTTTATTCATGTTTATTTTATCTTCGAAATTTTCGTTTAATGCGATTGGACTGTTGTACATGAGTTGAAGTCGCAGGGACGAAGAAAACCAGCAAATCAAACCCACAAAGAAGAAGAAATTTCCGGAAAAAAAAAAAAAAAAAAACCCCCACAAAGAAGAAGGGCCAAAAGAATCAATGGCTGTTTCCTCTCTGTCCAACTTCCTCTTGTCTCTCTCCCTTTCAGAACCAACGCCAACCCCTTCTCTCTCCTCTTCCTCTCTCCTCTCTCTCTCCTCCTCCTCATCGTCGTCGTCAAAAGCAACCACCATCACTCCTGCATTGTCTCTGACTCTCAAAGACAGAGATGGGTTGGTCCCAGTAATTCCCAACCAACATCAATCTTCTGATTTTCTCTCAGTGGTGTGTCCTTCACTGGCTTTCGCAAATACCCTTTTCTTCAAATCGGCGTACAACGTTCAGGTCATAGTCGGCGAGAACGAGCACGAAGAGAAGCTGATCGGTCGGTTTCGCAGGGAGGTATTGAGGGCTGGTGTCATCCAAGAATGTAAGCGAAGGAGGTTCTTCGAGACTAAGCGGGAAGCGAAGAAGAGGAAGACTCGTGAGGCTGCTAAGCGCAATCGCAAAAGGTTAGGGTTATATATAAGACATATATATGTGTGCGTTTTTTTATTTTTTTCCTAACGTAAAATGTGGTCAGTATTAGTTTTACTAGATGCTACTAAAATTTGTGATTTAGTGGGCAAAGTTATTGATTTGGTTGCTCAATCTATGTAAAGATATTAGAACTTTTGATTGAATTTTTGGTTTTCATACATATTAATACACTATCTAGAAGCATCACTTGTAAGGATGAGAATGACACAGATCAAAACATGAAAGGAAGACACCGATAGGCGATAACTTATATACATTCATATGCACATATATATATGTATGTGTGTTTGTTATGTTCTTATTGTAAATGCGGTTGTTATTAGTTTTGCTATGTGTTTGTAGAATTTATGATTTAGTGGGTGTTGTATTGGATGGAGAGATTGATTTGATTGCTTAATCTATGTGGAGGTATTTGAACTTTTGGTTGAATTTTTGGTTTTCGTAGGTGTTTCAGGTTTTGTTATTTTTGTTTTAGTCTCTCTAAAGCTCTCTCTAAACAGCACTTGTAAGGGTGAGTGAGAGCTGATCTAACGAAATTATAGGAAAATAAGACAGATCACCCCATGAAAAGAGCTGTATGGTGATCTTTTTCGAATAACGATCGAAAAAGATTTGCTTCATTTGAACTTCATTCGACCAACCGATGGCATGGCAACCCATTTAAAGAATGGAGTGGAGAGAGCTATTTAATTTCAGGTGTTAGTCCTGAAGACCCATTTAAAGAATAAAGAGGATCAATTTCCTTAGAGTAAAATCTGTATTCAATTTGGCACGAACGTGGCAAACCTGGCGACACTGTACCATTTGGGATTGTAACCTATGAAGCATGTAAGAGATTTAGGATTTCTACATGACACAATAGAAACACACTGGTAGGGATAATGTCACATAATAGGGATAGGGATATAGTGTGGATGCATCAAAAGGCTTAAATATAGATAAACAATCATTTATATGAATTAATTAAAATATCAAGCTTCAAATTTTTGTTTTGTTTTGTCTTTTTGTTTTTAAGTTATATCGTGGTTGACTTGATTTAGCCTTATCTTATCTACTTCGTTTTTGTGCTTCGATTCTTCAAAACCTATAGCATGAATTCTCTTACAATTATACTCCAATTTTTTATTAGAATGGTTGCTCAATGCCTAAGGCATGCCATACATGTATCAAGGAGATCAAAAATTAATTCTCAAATTATTGAAGTGTCTAGACAGTATCTATTATGCACCTAGGCTCGAGGCGTAATTCTAGCGCCTATTGTCATCCTAGGCGCACTAATGTTTACTAGGCGCGTGCCTCGGTTGCGCCTTGTCCTATTTGTCAGGCGTGCCTAGGCGCGCCTCATCATTTTTATTTTATTTTAAAATGATTGTTCTATTTCTTAAGCAAAAAAGGGTAATTTTGGCAACTTAATAAACAAATAATAAAGCCTAAGAGTCAAAGTATTAACCGAAAATAGAAAGAGTGAGACTGTGAGACGGATGAGGAAGCCCTAGTGGCAGAGATGGACGACGAAGCCATGTCAGTTCTTTCTTCTTCTTCTTCTTCTTCTTCTTCTTTCTCTTCTCCTCTACTTCTGTCTCTTTCTTCTCCTCTACTCTTCTCTTTTCATCTTTGTTTACTTTTCTCTCTTCCTTCGTCTAGCTCTCCTCTCCGTCTTTTTTTTTTTCGGGCTCTATTGTTTCTCCTTTTTCTTCTTTAACACTTTCTCTCTCTTCATCTACTTCTTTCGTTTCTGCGTCTTTTTCTTTTCTTTTCTTGTTAACATTTTTTTTTTCGTTAATAGATTTATTTCTTTTTGTTCTTTATTTTGCATTTCAAAAAAACAAATTTGTGCTTTGTTTTATGGTTCTTGAATGCTTATATAGTTGATGGATTTACTTTTTTATATTTGATATTAATTTTTTAAATGTTGATATGACTTATGAGATATGAATGCTTTTATGGTAGTTTAAAAGTTCAATTGTGCGCCTCACTTCACTCAGCTGTGCGCCTAGGCTCCAAAGGACCTCTAGCACGCGCCTTGAACCTTTAATAATACTGTGTTTGATGTATGTAGAACATATATGTTTCCTATACATTTCAAATATAGTTATGGTTCCTTCTCACACACACATACGCATGACATTTACATTACTTAGATTGTATAAGGCAATGAGAAACAACCAAGCTACTATTTGTATTCTATTCAAAAATGTTTGTCATGAAAGATAAAGGAGAGCTCTGTCCTTGGTAAAGATCTCTGATTTCAGCAAGCTGAATATCCTTAATGATGTATTCTCCCTGATGTTGCAAATGAGCAATACATTGATATTGATTTTGCAAATGGGTTCACTCTAAATAACATTCACACCTGAAGACTGAAGTACCATGTCCACTCCAATTTTCTTTTCCATGACATTGATGGAGTAATGTATGAACTTACTGCTTTTGACCCTTTCTTCATGGCCAAGAAGATATGGCTTAATGGAATGAAAACCTGGAGATTTTGTTTATATCCTCACCTCTTCCGCAAAAATGAGTCAACTAATTTCCCCCTTCTTTCATGTATGTACTTGCCATCAGAAACTGCCAAATCATTATGTACAGAATTAGCTTTCTACCTTTGGAGAAAATAGGCCTTGCCTGAGAGGGCTTATGGCTATGAAGCATGGATATGACGCAATATGACCTATTATAAAAAACAGGATATGGATATGACAAGGAGAGGACAAAGTGTATTTGTGTGTGTAAAAATTAAAGTAGTTATTGGCATATTTAAATAAACATGTTATGTCAAGTAGTTATTGGCATATTTAAATAAACATGTTATGTCAAGTAGTCATTTTTTATGGTTCCATGAAATACTTTTAAGTTTCTTAGTGTCAGAATTCACATAATGTTGCAAAAACATGGATTTGGAACCAAAGTTGACACATTTTACCTTTTATTATATCTGAATTCTTCTTCTTTTAAGAAATTTCACTTGTCTTTTCATCCTGGTGATATTTCAATTCATATACTCCATTGTTGTACTTGAAATGTCACATCCCATATTTTAGGAGATATCAGAAACAGGTCCTTGAGTATCCTATCCAATTTGTATCGAATTTTGTGTAATGTTTTGCTGATAAGTTTGGAGATTAAGTAGTTTGTTTCAAATTGTGGATAATTTTGGAAAGTATTGTGTGCACGAGATTCATAGAAAAAAGAAGAGAATCCTAGAAGGATTATCCATATCTAGTAAGGATATGATACAGATAAGACACCTGTCTAGAAGTATATATGCATTTTTAAGTTATAGGTTCTGAGCAAGTCTATGAAAATTAAACCACCTTAATAAATCGAAAATAGGAAGCAATGTGATTCTCCAACGTTTGCAAGCTCAGACTGGTTAATTGAAGTTAGAGAATGTTGGAGGTCATCCCACCCTTGAGTTCCAATGTAGATAAGTTTTTCAATTCACTAATCCGGTAATCCCTTCTGAAATTCATTCCCCAAAGAATTTACTTTTGAGTTGATCTCCTCAGAGGTTTTTGGGAAACTTTGATGCAACAGCTTGCATTTGTGAGAAATCAAGATCACATATAAACACTCAGTTTACTTGAAAAACCCCAATGGAAAAAATCATGGGACCTAGTCCAGGTAGATCAAATCCACTATGAGAAAGAGATTTTACAACTAGGTTAGCAGTTTTCCAAATTCTATATAACCTCACCTCTTGACATAGACTGATGCCAAGCTCTCTACTCAAGTCTCCAGGTCATTCCCTTCGCCAACAGCCCGCTTCTCATTTGATCTGCTTCTCCATAAACACATTGATTTCCATGACCAGTTGTCCAAGTTGTGTGTTTATTGTGTATAAACACTTGAGTTTTGAATTCTCCGTAAGCACAACAACAATAAAGATCGACACTTCAAGAACATATTCTCACCATCTAATGCAATAATGAATTATGAAAGAAAAAATGCTTTCTAAAAAATTTTTATGACCTCTCTCTATATGCTCTAGCAAGTAGCAATAATGTGTGTAGAGTTCTCTATATCGATATGCATTTGTTATGAGTACCTAGAGGTGTTTATATAGTGCTTTGAGCTCAAAGGAATTAGAATTTCTTAGTTGTTGTCAGAAAAGGAAACCTAAACCTTTAGAATAATGATTTGAGAAGTTTTCACAAAATATTTCGTGCCAATTGATCGAACGAGCCTTCAATCAAACGACACTAGTACTGCTTTAATCAATCGAGCCTTTGATTGAAGCATTTTGGACTTCTATAAAACTTTTCTAGAAATTTTTAATTTGTTGACATATCAGTCGAGGCTTATTGTCTTTTGTCCTGTTTAAATGTATTTGATCTGAAAATAATTTCATGTATTTAAAACATCTTTTTTCATGAATCAAAGCATGTATAATTCCGTAACTCTTTTTTCCCCAAGGCAAGTAAGATCAAAAGTTTATTGATAAGAGCAGTTCTAGCTACATTCAGCATTAGCTAATTCCATAACAGATGCAGGAATGGCATCATTCAATACCACAGTTCCTAGACAAAGCTAGTTGAGCCCATAAGTGAGCCACGCCATTCCTTTTTGCTTGATCATTTCACCCTCCAGAAAGGTTGCTTAGTCAGTAGAAAACTCTTAAGTCTTCTCAAGTTGCAGCTATAGAAGAATTAGGATTAGTTGGGATTATAACTAACCTGCACTCACTTTAAAAAATTACTCTCTTCAAACCCCAACTAGAAGCCCATTTGACTGCATCTTTAGCCACCATAACCTCAGCTATAAGCACAATGCAACCATAGGGAAGAAACATATAGCAGGTTTCAGAATATTGCCCAAAGGATCTCTCAAGATCATCCCTCCTGCAGCTTCCCTGTGAGATTGTTGAACGAGTCATCAAAATTGGTTTTTATAAAACCTACATCAGGACGCCTCCAATGTATCCGAGAAGCAACAGAAGATCTGGTCTGAGCTGTAGTTGAGTTATCTCTGCATTTTCGAAATATCTTGCTGCTTTATGGAGCACGAGAGAATTTCCTGCTCATTAATGCATTTACCCTCAAACACAAATTTATTTTGACTCTATGCTCCTACAAAGATAGGCAACAAGGCACAACATGTCTTCTTTATCCTCATGCTTGTCCCACTGCACCAGCAGATCATTGAATCAATGAAACCAAGAAAGTGAGGTAGTTGCAGCAGTGTCCAACCTTACAGTGTGTAGTTTCCAAGCTTTGATTAATATTTGGAATGGAATGATGCTTGTCTACCAAATTGTGCCCTAAAACAAGTTACGATATGAATGCATGAGCGTAAATCTTAATTAGTTAGTTATTCAATAGGTAGTTTTACCTTTTTGCCCTTTGACGTAATTTCAAATTCTAATTTTACCCTTGGACCTAGGTACCACCAATAACTAACTAACTATGACCCGTTTGGCAAACAAGCTCTAAACTGACTTGTGCAAATCTAATCAAAGCTAGAAATTAGAATATATACTTCGGCATTTGTTACGAAAATTGCTGACACTAATGCATTATTTGATAATCCAATTAAGTATTTAATTTTGAAAAGATTGAAGGTTGTTTAATTAAGTGCTTTTGATAACGCAATTAGGATACCACTTAAAAGAAGTAAAATTTTAATTGATGGAGACTTCACTTATCATTGAACACTGAACACTTTTGGTCAAAAAAATATCGAAACCATTTATAGCTAGCACTTCAAAAATTCAGCACCTAAAATCCAGTTCTTAAAATTTTTAGTACTTAATTTACAAATATTTGAATTTCAAGTGAGAAAGCAGCTGCCGTCAGCCTTGAATCTCCAGAACAACCTCATTCTTGAGGAGCCCCAAATATATCGTCTTGCATAAAGAAGAAGAAGATCTAGCAAAGATTTTAATGTGTTAATCCCTCCAAAAGAGGGAATTAAACAAATCACTGACCTCTCTAGGAGTGTTAGGACCGGAACTCTGTATATAACATCCCTGGTTTGTTGAATTTTATTAATTGAGAGGCAGTGTTAAGTGGAAAAGAGCGGTTAGTTTCCTTTTTCTCTTTTGTTTTTAATAATTAAACCCCTGCTCCCACCTTCTGTCTTGTTTAAAAATCACTAAAATTCTTCTTTCATATGCTAGAATTGAACTTGATTGTCTGATCTGGAGTACTTGAGCTATTTGCCATTGCTATTTTGTTCATATGTGGGTGTGATAGTTCTCTTAGGCTGTTCTCCTTGTTTATAGACTCTTTTTTCCCTCTCCTATTTGTAACGACACGGCTAATTTCAGTATTAATGAATTTTATTTCTTTGAATTTCCTTAAGAATGATTATCTCTCTACTTATCTGTTCATTCTATAACCAGGCGCCCACTAGCAAAAGCTCCGCAACAGGACAAGCAGGGAGGCACAAAGAAGGACGACGACGACGACGACGAAAAGGATAACTGGGAATTCATTGATGTAGACCTCCCCTATCTGTGAAAGGAATAGAGACAATGCTGTACTGGAAATGCCGAGAATATAAAGCGGATTCTTGATATTTTTGGTTTTGGGTTTTACCGTTCTGGAGGTGTAGAGAGTAGAGACTACCGTGCAGCATAACACACCATTTTTGCATATACTAACTATACTTTCTTGTGAATGTATGTTTTGCTACATTGTTCAACAGTGTAGCTAGTAGCTACTAATTAGTGGAAGAAGTTCTATTTGCTTGAGCTACTTGATTGCTCTTATAGTTTATTAGTGAAACTTTAGACAGCTGCTGAAAAATGGCTTCCTGAGCAAAAAAAAAATGTTATTGCAATTACGTTTTACCACTTCATACGACTTCACTTTGTGGGGGGTTGACCAATAAAAAGAACATGAACGTCGAAGCAAAGTAGCTTTGAGGTTCTACCATATATTGAGATTTTGATTCTTGGTCTGCTTATTAAGATTGTGATAATCTTATGGAAGTCCAGGAGATGGTAGGACTGAAGTTGAGATTGATAGAGAGGGATGTACAAGAATGGCTATCAAAATTTGCATTTATAAGCAAATTCTGACAGAAGACAGTTCAATACATTTGGTTGATGGTATAGAATTTTTATTACTCTCTAAAAGTTTCTTTTTTGTTACTAGTGATTTTAAAAGTTGTTTTAGATAATTGACCTATACAGTACAAGAGGAGCTTTGGATAAACAGCATTAAGGTGTAGCAACTTTGTGAAACTTCCATGCTTTGTTTCATTCTTAAGGATGGAAAACAGCAGAATTCGAAGCCAATGTTGTTGATTACCTATAAGCAAGAGATCATTTATGATTATATATATATATGTGTGTCTGTGTGTGTGTGTAGAACATATAGAAAATTCGCATGTTAAACTTGTGAGAAATGATCATGAGCCTCATTTTGTAGTGTAAAACCTTGATAGTCCATCTGGTTCGTGTGTGGGACAATTTTTGGTAATCTGGTCATTTCAGTTACCCCTTTCATCCACGCAGCAGCTACAGCTGGGATTTGTTAGGCTTTGCTTCTGCAAACATTTTTTGCCCTTAATATATTTGATTTATAGTTGCAAATTAGTTAATGTCTTAAAATATTTAAAATTTTGAGCACTTTGAACCACTAGTAAAGTATGCTGTAATTTCTGAAATGATTTAGAAATAAGAACATGTCTCGGTTACTTAGAAAACTTGAAATTTAACAAATAAGCTTAGAAGAAAAAAACAAAAAACAAAAACAAATAAAGCATTTTAACAAATAAGCTTAGAAGAAAAAAACAAAAAACAAAAGCAATAAAAGCATACGGGAGTCTCTTGCTAACCTAAAAAGCAAACAATTTTAAAAGAAAAAGGGAATTTTGTTTTAAACTTGACTAAAAATACAAAAACTGGGGGGGAAAAAAAATAATAATAATACAGAATATACAAGCTACATAAAACTTAATATATTAGATATATATTTGCTAGATCCAAGTTAGAATTTTGTCATTATTCCTTTAGAATTGATGCAAGCAATGTCAGCTCATTTTTTAATTTAATTTTTTTTTTTTTTTTTTACTCGAATCCTCCTTTTTTACAATATATTTGTGATCTTATTAATCATAAAAAAAACTATCATTTTTATAATAAAATCAAATTAAACATAAAAGAAACGATGACAATAAATATGCTTCATTATCAATTAGTAAATCTGTTTAAAAAATTATCAATTAATTATTTTACTTAGGTGTTAGTTACTTGATTTATATATTTTTTCTTTTTTCATAAAATCAACAGCACACTTCAGTTTCCCTCTCTGCAAGTAAAGTGCGAAACAAACCCAATCAAACTCGAGTTTTGTGAAAACAGAGCTTTAGAGAGAGAAACAAATAATGGAAAGTGAAGAGAATACGCAGGAACCTCATCTTGTGCTCGCTAACAAGCTATTCTTACTCACCCACCCAGACGTACAAGACATCGAGAAAGTCCGCCTCCGTGATGAGGTCTTCGCCGCCGTCAAAGCCGACGGTAACCACCACCAACGCCAAGTTTTTTTTTTTTTTTTTTCTTTTTCTTTTTCATTATAGGTAAAATATTGTGTTTCTGATGTATTGTTTGGGTGCAGATATGGCTCCGCTCTATGAAACCCTAGCGGCCAATTCAGTGCTGGATATGGATCAGTCCGATTTGGATTCGATGCGTGCCAAGATTGATGAGGAGCTCAAAAAGCTCGACGAGAAGTGAGTTCATATTCTATTTTCATTATGCATATATGGATAAATGTAGGCCTAAATTTTTTGTGGAATCAGTTGTTATGCTAGTCAATTGGGATTTGGGAATGCACCTTCCTAATAATATTGAAATTCAACTTTAATTTTTTAATTAATGATTTGATGTGTGTGAAAATTTGTATACACAGATCTTTGATTCGAAATTGTAGAGTAAGTTGGAGTGGTTTACCGTGTCTCTTTGTGGAATTGATTGATATTCTGCATTACATTGGTGAGTATGATGGGTATTTGAATTTCAGAGTAGTAAGAACTATTAGTGCTAACTTTAGGAAAACTTTCAAGTATGGCTTTACTATTGACTGTGTGCATTATTTAAAAAGTTAAGTAACAAATTGGCAGTGGTCCATTTCTCAGAGAAAAGAAAGATAAAGATAAAGAAAGTGAAAATCAATATTTGACGCCTCGAGAGATTGTTTTCAGTGAGAAATTTTCAGTTTCAAAATGATGATCATGAAAAAATCTAGTATCCTTGGGAACAAAGGTTTTCTTAACCTGAATATTGTTTTGTCTGTTTTGTAAAAGTTTTAGGTAGAAACTTGGACAAGGAAGCAAATTTAAAAATCTGAGTGGACTTACAGTGTTTCTAGTAGTGTGAAAAATGGAGGCATGACCGTGGAGAGGGAAAGGGAAAGGGAAAGGGAAAGGGAAAGGTGGGAGGAGCTTTCTTTCTTTACTGCAGAAAGAGGGAGAACGAAAGAAAGGGAGGAGGGATCTCTCCTCCACACTGACCCTTCTTTTGCTTTTTCACCCAAAATTTAGCATAATAGCGGAGGGGGTTCCCTCCCCTTCCCCTCAAAATTTGATTTTCTTCCTCTACTATTAGAATCACTCAGTACCCCTTAACTTCTTAATTTCTTTCAGTCTCAACCAAACAATATGAGATAAGGAATCCTTCATCTCTTTAGTTAGACACTTATACTGTATGCCTATTCTATACCTCCCGTCTTTCCTTCCGTTCAATTTTCCATCCTTCATACCAGCCAGAGCATTAACTCTTCTTTGGAAGAGGATTGCGTGGCATGATCTATGCAATATACTGTGGCATTATTGAACTTCAATATTTCATGTGCCTATATGGATTTGAGGATGTTTTTGATGAGGAAAGCAGGGGTTTCGAGTTATGAATATGAGTGACTTCTGGTGCTTGAAAAGATGATTTGGAAAATATATTTATCTAGAGAATGAAAACCCAAGATCAACTGAACTTACTAAGCCTTAATATAAAAAAATTATTGAATCAATTCCTTACAAGGCCATAAAAACTACGTAACGGAATTAGGGTCAGTATGATGATTATGATCTAAATGCTTCCACAATAGGTGATCCTCATGGATTATGGCTTCAGCTTTGAGTCCACCATCTCTCTCTCTTCCCACCTCCATCACTATAGTCATGACTTTGTTTTATCATCATTTCCTTGCCTTCATTCCCTATGAAAGGGTCGGCCACATGACTTCGTTTCACATGACAAATACCTTTTTCATTACAGCAATGTGGATGTTTAATTTCTTTTTCTTTCATCTCCAGTTTTGTTATTTAAACTTTGTAATTTCTTCAATTCATTTGATGGGCTTCGTGTTTCTTTACTTATGCTGTTAAATAATCTATATCATGATTCCAATTTTAAGAAAACGAGTCCTCCAATTTAATAGTTTTACCCACTGCTTACCACTCTCTGAGATTATCTTTGCACTTTGCACTTTGCACGTCAAGTTATGATTTGATAGGAAAATGTTCCTTCGAATTTTTAGGGGATTAACCATTTTTTTTCTTTTTAGTGTTGTTAAATTCTATTTTTAATTGATTGGTGATGAATTTCTGGCAAAATATTGATATTTTGTATAATGTGTTTGACAATGAAATGTCAACCATTATTTTATTTTCTTTTATTTTTATATAATTTGTCTATGCTTGAATTATTGAGATGAACAATGTTTAGGTACTCTCCCTCTCTCTCTCTCTCTCTCTCTCTCTCTCTCTCTCTCTCTCTGACACACACACACACACACACACACAATCACTGCTAATTACTTTTGCTCGTCTTTTTTAAGTATAGAAACCCACCCAAACTTGAAAACTTATGTTTATTCACTTGGTTTAAGATGCCTTGTGAAAGTTGTTTTGACCGTTAACCCAAGGCTCTGAGGTGCCAGAGTGTGAGCAGTGAATTTGACTTGGAGGTTTTTGTTAAAAATCGTTAAGCCCTTCTAAATTCTAGTTAGTTTTTCGTGGAGATTGTTTTTTAGTCTACAGTTAAACTTCAATTTGAATAAACCAACTCACAAATGAGCAACAAATAGAAAGTAAAGTAGAGTAGACTCACAAGATTTTTAGTCACTCACAATCCAATACCAAAAAAGAGATTACAACTAGGTTCAGTTCACTCACCCTCGAACCCATAGTTACTCCTAGACACAGATGTCGCAAAATTTCTCCTAAAAGTCTTCCAGCCATTTGTTTGCTCGTCAACAACATTCACTCCTCACGAATGACGAACCTGCTTCTCTAGTGATTGCCAGCCCTTGTTTGTTCTATATTTCTTGGTTGAATAGGATCAGATAGATGATGTTCTCCTTGATGAACATCAAATCACACATGATATGTTCTATGGAAACCCTAGATTGAGTAAAACATAAAATTTTCTCTTACAAGAAACATCTTTCTCTCTCTCTCTCTCTAGTTCATTATAGTCACCCAACTCATGTCTAGACTGGCTATAACCCCATATTTGTAGCCAATATAGGATTCCCATACGTTTTAGGTGGTTAATTCTTTGTAAAATTATATTTAGAGAGAGCTTTTAAAAATTTATGTCCGACAAGTTCAATTGATCAAGCCTTTGATCGAACACCCCTGGATACTCCTCGATCGATCGACACTTCGATTAATACATTATAGTTTTGAAAGAGATTTTACCTGTATTATCTCGATCAATCGATCTATACATTCTGGTTTTGAAGAGATTTTAGCTGGATAATCTTAATTAATTGACTATCCGATTAATGTCTTCTTGAATCCTCTCGATCGATCGACCATTCAATCAAGGCACACTGTTTTCCAGTTTGAAATACTAGTTTTGAAAAATACGTGACACTTATTTATTATTTTTTTTTTCCTAGGTGAAACTTACGCACTTTGTCCTTATGAGCACTTGAATTTTCAACCTTTCAATAGTGAAAGGTAGACTACAACCATTGGTGATTGTAAAACTTAAAATTTGAAACTAATTTTCTAAAACACTTTTATAATCCCAACCAAAATTAAATTAGGTCAAACTAGGGCCTTACTAAGGCTAATTTACCCGTGACCTAGATGTGTGATTGATGATGCAAATATTCCGCCGCGTTCTTTGGACTTTGTGTTTACCATGTCCTCAATTGTTGTCCTTGAATGACTCAAGACATTTTGACACATTGCAATGCAGGTTTTGACAGCAGTGCCCATAGTGCAGGTTGAGCTAGGGTTGACACTTCAACCTGCCCAAGTTGAACCCCTAGTATTGGGTTTTGTGGTTGATTACTGATTATTGTTGTAAACTATATCACACGAGAGCCTCTTTTTATGCACCAGTTGATTGGTCTAATCAGGGCCACTCCAAATTCCACCAGTTGCATTTTATCGTGACCTGATCTTTAGATTGTAGTGTGCACCAAGTGATTTTTCCCCATACTTAAACATCTATTCGGTTGCATTTTTTTTAGGATCGCTGATGCTGAAGAGAACTTGGGTGAAAGTGAAGTTCGAGAAACTCATTTAGCTAAATCCTTGTTTTATATCCGAATCGGTGACAAGGTATATAAGAATTGGAACTTGTTAGTTACCAGTACTGATAGTCTTGCTTATTTATTTGCTTCGATTCAGTGAAAATTTCAAACCGAATTATTCCGTATGTCCAGGAGAAGGCATTGGAACAGCTCAAGGTAACTGAGAGCAAAACAGTTGCAGTTGGGCAAAAGATGGATTTAGTATTCTACACACTGCAGATTGGGCTTTTCTACATGGATTTTGATCTCATTTCTAAAAGCATTGATAAAGCGAAAAAGTAAGTGGTAACGTAGTACTTTATCTTTGTTCAATTTTCTTCTGCAGTCCTCTTATTTAAATTATTGCAATTGAATCTCTCATTTCTTACTCTGATGGGCCAATGACAGCTTGTTTGAAGAGGGAGGTGACTGGGAAAGGAAGAACCGTTTGAAGGTGTATGAAGGCTTGTACTGCATGTCCACTCGTAACTTCAAAAAAGCTGCCGATCTTTTCCTGGATTCAATCTCAACTTTCACAACATATGAACTCTTTCCTTACGACACCTTTATATTTTACACCGTCCTTACGAGCATTATATCATTGGATAGGGTTTCCCTAAAACAAAAGGTATTCAGTTTTTCATTTCATGGTTCTGGCTTGGCATGGTTACCCCCACTGCATGTGTGTGTGTGCAAGTGCTAAGGATGGTAAATTGGTAATCAACCTGATAAAATTTGTAGTCTGCCTCACTCCTATTTGAATGGGGTAGGGGGTCATTGGGGAGGTCTAAAATTGAGTAAGGGCAGAATTAAGGAACAAATATGAAAACTCAAATGGGTTTGGGATGTGTTAGTAGAAGAGTAACCCTAACCTGTTTCAATTAGACCAACAATGCGAGTGTCGAAGCTACATATGTAGCAAGCGAGGCAGGCTTTTCTTTGTCCAGTATCAGTACAAAGAAGAAACTGAAACCTTAAGGCTTCTATAAAATGACTCCATGACGTGCCTGCCCCTCAAAGACATGCATTTTGCTAAGCCATGGGTGTATTATACAGTCTCGCCACGTGGCACTTGAGGTGTAGACTCCTCTCCTTTTCAGCCGTTCTAGTCATAACACGAATTTCAAAATTCCTACAGTAAAAGGTTAAGACCCAGCAAGGCAACCACCCAGCCTGAATATTTTTTTAGGTTAACTTCACCCTGTCTGCGTCCACAAGGGTTTGAGAAGTTCGGTCTCTTTTAGGATTTGTCAGGGAAGGGTTGGTGTGTGAAAAACCCATTCATTTTCCATCCTTAGTTTCCCCTTCTTTTATCCTAAGAGAGGGTTTCTCACCCACTCTCTCTCTCTCTCTCTCTCTCTCCCCCTCTGGAAAACATTCTTATTATGATTATTATATATGGCAGGTAGTGGATGCACCCGAAATCTTGACAGTGATTGGAAAGATCCCATATTTGTCAGAGTTTTTGAACTCTCTGTATGATTGTCAATACGAACCATTTTTCTCGGCATTTGGTAAGTAAATATATTGCGTATCACATACTATTTCGAAGGTGTTCAGAATTATATATATGCATCCATGTGGGTGAAATTAGTTTGTTGCATGATTTCAATTTCATTTTTGTGTGCTTCTTTTTGGATACTCACTTCTGATAGCTTCTTGATAGATTCTCAATATGCAATGTTACTGTTGCCCAAGTATAGACTCTAGAGGGGGGGTGATTAGAGTCTTTGGCAAATAATGGCCAATTTTCGGATTTGCAAATTCTATTTAAAACCTTCAACAATTATGCAATAATCAATATATAGGCATAAGCAATTAATAGCATAAATGTAAGGAGATAAGGGAAGAGAAATTTGCAAACATTCACACGGCGATTTTAGCGAGGTTCGGAAACTCCTACTCCCCGGCTCAAGACCCCCCTTGAGACTTCTCAATCCACTATGGCACCTCCTTACGGGTGGAAAGCAAACCTTTGCATGAAGCAACTCCTTGCTTCACTTTGCTAAGAGACAACCTCTCTTAATCTTCCTTTGGGTCACACCAACCCTTACAAATTGAAGCTAGCTTGCGTCTTCTTTCTTGGGCCACACCAGCCCTTACAAATTGAAGATCAAATTTGTTGCATGCAAATATATCTCTCAAAGATAGATATGCAAATATTAGCTCACAACTTTCAGCTCACTCTAGAATATATCTATGAATAGATTGAAGCTCAAGACTCTATGAATGATGTGAGATGAGAGAGTATGATATGAATATAAAAACAAAAGCTCTTTGGATGCTATATAATGTTTCTCAATGGTAGCAACACTTAATCTCGAAGTCCCTAGCTCTATTTATAGAGTTTTGATGAGCTAATTCGAAAATATAGCTGTTGTGCATGCTGTTCAAGGCAAAATAGCCGTTTGAATTTGAATCTCCGCAGGTTCGGTCGACCGAAATAGAACACCTATGTGTTTCGATCGTCCGAAATGGTTCAAGATTGGCCATCATCCTTGTTTCGGTAGACCGAAGAAAACTTTCATAAGTTTCGGTTGACCGAAAGTCCTTCCTCCTTTGTTCTAAAGCATTTTGTGAGAATCGGACGAGCCAATGCATTTGGCTTCTTAGTTTCGGTCGTCTGAAACTCCTAGAGTAACATTTCATTTCCTTGGTTCGGTAGACCGAACTGAGGTGGTCTTGTATAGACCGAAATACCATTGAAGCTTCAGGAATTGTTCTAAGTTAACAAATGAAACAGTTACTCCACAGGACATCTGCGCGTACAAGTAAATGTCTTTACTTTAATTTATATGTCCATTTACTTTAAGTTTATAATGTAAATAAGGAAGTACCCCCCATTTGGTTTCAATAAAAAATACTAGAAAATTGAAATCCAACTAAATCAAAATATAGAAATTCAGTTTTAGTACAAATTTGGATTTCTGACAGTTTTGGTAAAATTGAATCCTTATGTAGACCAATGTAGACTTGGTCAAAAATTCTGATAAAATCAGTTTAGGCTAGTTTAAGTATAAAGAGTTATTACCGGGAAAAATTATTTTGAAATAATCATTATTTCAAAAATTCATTTTTCACACTTTGCCAAAAACACACTTTTTCATGACGCGCATTCTGGGGTCCTAATGTCCGTTACCAACTCATGGTAGTGAAGGCTTCTCATGCCTTAATTGTTGACCAATATGAATTATATGATTGTGTGCATGGTCTTAGCATTTGTAGCACAAGTGATGAGTTCTTTCAAAGCTTATGCAAGCTTTAATTAACTCGTTCTTTAGCAAAGACTCCATATGTCAATTGTATATGAATGAAGTGCATAGTCTATTGCTAATGGATATAGGAGCATATGAATGATGATATGATATGCATGGTCCTATAGAGATGAGCTTCAAATGGATTCATAAATACTTTAACTTTGAATCCTAAACACTCACCATCCTATCTACCCTTTTCTTCAAGCTTTGTCCATGATCTTTAGGCTTTGAGGTAGTCTTGTTTTCTTCCTTCCTTTGAGTTGCTTTCTTAATCATTGATGTCCAAGCTATCTTTGAATGGACTTTGCATTTGGTTCCTTACAACTTCATGTCTTCTTTGTCTCTTTTGTTATCCATAGATGTGATCTTGAGTAATGGAGTTCTTGGAATGGTCTTTATGATCTTCATTGAGGTTCTTCTTTGAATGTGAATCATCTACAACACTCAATGTGAACATTAGTCCTTAAACACCATTAATGGTTTGTTATCATCAAAACCTCTAGATTGTCCTTGGATGGAATCCTTAAGGTCAACAGTTACATATAGCTCGAGTGAGCTGAGTAAGCTTGGGAACCACCTCAAGAACCATAGAAGAAAAAAGGCTGGGAAATGCCAGTAGATAATTGCATTCATTATATCTGGTTAGTCTGACTGAAGGGCTTTGAGTGTTTGATTCTGATAATTTTTGAGGTGCATTTCTATGTCTTTGCTCTATCCAAACAATAAGATTGTAATTGAATAGCAAAAATTATTTAATCATGGTAGATTTTCATACATGAATTCTACTTCATATGGTTGCGATCCAGTTTTCATGAGTACTAGAATTTGATTTATGTGAGGGACACACAGGGTTCACCAATATCATCTGTACTGATTGAACCTCTTATTTTATCGGATTCTATATATTTTATGGTTTGTTTTAATCTTGAATTTTATTTGAATGGCTTGCAGCTGGTTTGGCGGAGCATATAAAATTAGACCGCTATTTGCACCCACACTTCCGGTATTACATGAGGGAGGTTAGAACTGTTGTGTATTCGCAGTTCTTGGAATCCTATAAGAGTGTCACAATTGAAGCAATGGCAAAGGCATTTGGTGTAACGGTTGATTTCATCGACTTGTAAGCAGTTTATTTTCTTGGATGCTGCCAATTGTGCCTCGGATATTTTTAGTTGTTAGTGATGTGCTTAATTCTGTATTTTTATTTTCTACAGGGAGCTGTCCCATTTCATTGCTGCAGGGAAGCTGCATTGCAAGATTGATAAAGTTGCTGGTGTCTTAGAGACTAATCGACCTGATGCAAAGAATGCTCTTTATCAGGCAACTATCAAGCAAGGGGACTTCTTACTAAATCGGATTCAAAAGCTTTCACGGGTGATTGATCTTTAAAGTAGTTAACTGTTTTTTGTGTTTTGGAGATACCAAAACTTGAGCCTAGGAACTTCATGTTGGTTGCTTCATATAACGAACAGAATACTGCTAGAATTCATTTTCATTTTTCTCTGAATTTATTAAAAGTTTTCAAGCTTACTGATTTCAGGAGTTGATGAGTTCTCTGCTTTTCTTACTAGTCTAATCAAGGATGGGCATGGTATGGTTATTTTGTGTGCTTTTAATATGGCATGCTATGGATGTTGGCTGAGGTCAACAGACTATAAGATGTTCTTAGGACTGCACCCAAACAAGTGATGACTCAATAATGAGTGAACACACCTTGAACTTTTTGCAAACTTAAGCTAACTAGTTTAATTCTAAGTGGGCTTTACGTGCGTGTCATTTTTAATTTAGGATGATGGTGATGGCAGTATGATGGTAGAAGTGCATGCATGTTTCCCTTTAAATTTATTGGTTGAAGGATAATGATACTGTCAAAAGATGCTTTGTGCAGTCTAGCATCCAAGGAAAAACTCCCTTGCCAAGTGTTTGTGATGGTGATACTTTGCGTATTTATGTACTTCTTATGCGAACTTTCCTCGTGGCTGAAGAAATGCGTTCTTGATTCTGGAAAATGATTGGATGAAGAATTACTAAAAACTTCATCTTAACCGACTTAGACATTAATAAACTTCATAATTTGTCTGCTTCTTTATGTTTTGCTTAAACTGTGGATAGTTATACTGATGAGCCGACTTAGACATAATAAACTTCATAATTTGTCTGCTGCTTTAAGTTTTGCTTAAACAGGGGAGAGTTACACTGATGTGCCTGTCTTGCATGTAACTAAGTTCTCTGGGAAGCGGCAAAGAATTGCTTCCTATTTCGCGGATTTGGTTTTCATTTGGAAGGTAAACATCTCGAGAAATTGCCAAGGGAATTGTTTCATGCTTGTTGAATGTTTTAAGAAATTTCGAGGGAAAGGAAAATGTTGTGTTTGGAAGCACCAAACATAGCATTATATTGAAAAATTTTCCAGACAGGTATTTTTTTTTTGGATCCAGATAGTGGAGTGTACTGAATGCTGCTGGCTGTGACTGTGTCTAGTTCGACAAGTTGCTTTCAACTCTCATTGTGCAAGTCTTTGTGAACCATATGCATAAGCAAGATCACACACACAATGAGCGTGTAAAACCCTTTTTGTGGATGTTTCCAAGTCACTTATGTTTCATCCACTACGCAACCCACTTGACCATTTCAAGAAGTAACATCATGCTTCAGACCAAGTCCATTTGTGTCACGTTCTTACAGTGTAATTGGACCCCACCGACTGACTATGTGGTGACACAGCTTGGGGATGCCAGAGTAGTGCTCTTGTTTTTTTTTTGTTTTTTTTTTTATTTTATTTTATTATTATTATTTTTTGATAACCCAGAACTCCTTCGGACCATCCCATGGCACCAAACTAGGAATACAGCAGCCGGCCCCCACAACTACAGTATCAAGTTAGGCGAGGGTGATAAGGGAGGCGGCAATGATCGATCACTGGCATCGGGCGTTGCAGCTCCAATCCTTACCAACCCATCCAAGGCCACGGAGCGTAGTGTTCTTATTTGATAATGACGTTTGTTTGCTTTTATCTATGGAGATAATTTGCATTGTTGCAAATTTTTTTATTATTATTATTTTTTAAATATGATAAGAAATACACTCACACTTTTATTCACGCACAATTTGTCCAAACCCGAGCTCGATTCCCTCCCTTCTCTTTGGTGCAATTCAATAGTATATTTTATTTTTCTTTCTGGCTGGAAATGAAAAACACTAAATTTTGGACCATAACCAACATGAACACCAAGTCACAAATGCAGCAGTATTCCGTTTTTCACTGTCACTGACAAAAACCCAATCACACCGGTTGATGTCATCCTTTAGTGACTGCCAGACTTTAATTCTCAGTTAAACGATAACATAATTAATTTAAATTCAACGATAACGTAAAGTGTGACATCTACGATGTGATTGGGCACATTTGTGAAAATTATGTTTGGTTTGGTTAAAAAAAAGTAAAAATTGGAACAAATTTTTGAGTATAAAAGAGCTGAAGAAATGAAGACGATTATTGCATGATTTATCAAACCATTAAACTCTTGAAAAAGACCGAGGAGGCTCTTTGGTGTCGAAAAAAAATCATTCATTTTTGGCCCGACTCAAACACTGTACTGGTAGCCCAAAAGGGCCCCATTTGGTACCATTTCAATTTTATACATACACATTACACATTAATATCCTTCAAAATCATGTATTTTTATGATGTGATGGGCCATCAATTTCAATTTCAATTTCATATAGCTGATATGATGTGACGTACATGAAGCATGGGTCAAAAAGCTTAAATATTACGTCAAAAAAACAAACATGGTTGTATATAATACTCATTTGCCTCTTCTTCGTTTTTTTTTTTCCGTAAAATTCATGTTTTTGAAATTTTATTGTTAAAATAATTAGAGTTTTTCTCGTCAATAAGAAAAACTTCAAGATTTAAATATATTATAAATTAATTCTTTAAAATCATATGAAGCAAAAAAATTAAATTAAACTCAAAACACACAATACAAAAAGAAAAAATTACCATCACTTTTAACATCGATAGTGTTGATTGGCCTATGAAATTTTGATAGTTTCTTACGTGCTTCCTATACTAATCTTTCATTGTTACATACAAAGATCAATATTAAACCCTAAAGTGAGATAAGATAATTAATAAAAAGTAGAGAAAGAATTGAGAGATACACCCAAATCGTTAAATTGGGGAGAGAGAAATATATTTTTCTATGGATGAAATAGTAATTGTGGTATTTGAGAAAAATATTTATTTATTTATAAAATTAGGAATAGAAGTATTTTTTCTTTTAATGCTATGTTTGATGTGCTGGAATGGAATGAAATGTCCATTTCATTCATTCATTTGTTTGGTATGTAATTTAAAGTGTGAATGACCATTCTATTAGAATGAGAATTCATTCCACAACTAAACCTATGGAATAATTATTCTATTCCCAAGTAATTTTTATAAAAAAAAATCAAGTTTCCGAAAAACCCTCATGTTCAAAGTTCAAAACACCACCACCACCACCACCACCATTGCCACTATCTTCCATTACAACCACCGCTGCCGCCTCCATTGCTTTCTACCACTATCACTACCATCGCCACCATTGTTACCACCTTCAACCACCATACCGCCCCGCTGCCTTGCACGGTCGCCACCACTACCACCATTGACTTCACCACAACCATCGCCTTCCACCACCACTACCTTCAACCACCGCCACCTTAATTACCTTCCACCACCGTCATTATTACCACCACACTATCATCCTCGTCACCATCACTTTTCGCCACCACCACTATTGTTACCTTCTACCACCACCATACCGATGCAGCCTCCACTGCCGCCACTACCACCACCTTCATCACCACCACCATCACTGCCACTGCTAGTGGCATAGCCACATAGGGACAAGTGGGGGGCAGCTGCCCACACTAAATTTTTAATTTTATATGGAAATTTTTTTATATTTCTATAATTATCCCCACTAAAAGTTGACATTGCACATATATATACTATATATATAAAACCAAATGACCATTCACACTATTATAAAAAAATATATATAATCTTTCCAAAAAATATGATATTTTTTTTTTCACTTTCTCAAAATATTATATTCTTTCTCACTTTTCCCAAAAATCACACTTTTGACTTTACCACAAATAAATGTGTTGTTAATTTACATCGCATTTTCAATCTTCAACATTTCTCTTTCGGCGAGTCTTCCATATATTTCAAAAATTCACAAAATCCAAACAAATACTGCAATGCAGAGATAGGTAATCTGATATATATTTTTTTATCATCTAAATTTACTATTATTATGCCATGAACATTTTGAAAACTCAATTGCGTGCTTTCAGAATATGAAAAATCTTCTGAAATATTTAGTGCTGTTTAATTTTTACATATATTATTTTAGTTCGAATAATATATATATATATAATTGCTGTTAAAAATTGCCCCCACTGAAGAAAATTTCTAGCTATGCCACTGGCCACCGCCATCGGCTTCCACCACCACCGTCACCTCTACTGTCTTCCATCACCACCGTCACCTCTACTGCCTTCCACCACCATCATCACCTGTATCATTGTCGCCGCTTTCCACCATCGCCACCTCCCTTGTCACTGCCACCAACTTCCACCACCACTACCATCGTCACCTTTACCACTATCACCGTTTTCCACCACCACCACACCGTCACCGCTGCCACCACCACTACCGCCACCAACTTCCACTGCCTACCACCAATGTCGCCTTCTACCACCACCACACCACTGCTGCCTTCTACTACCAGCACCACCCGCCACAACCTTCCACCACCACCATCGCCACAGCCTTTTACCATCGCTATCATTTCTTTTAAAAAAATTATAGAAGAATGTTATTTTATTAATTTAATTTATTTGTCAAGGGGTATTTTGGAGAATTCAATTTGAAATTCATTCTATTTTAAATTTTAAATTGATCCAACCAAACACTACAATTATTATTATCATTCCATTTCTATAAGTATGATATTTGCAACCAAAGAATAAAATGTGAATAACCATTCCATTTCATTCCCATTTGTATTTCATTCCATTTCTACATATCAAAAGCAGTATAAGAATGCAATATAATTGAAAAAAAGTGGAGTGCAAATATTATTTATTTATTATTTAAATCCTAGTTGATATTCACAAACACTCTTCTACTCCTCAAGGAATTGTTTGCTCAGCCAATTTTAAAACTACCACTTGTTTTTCCAATTCCAAAGTGCCAATTTCAAAGAAAATTTCATTAAAAACAGTAATCAATCTTTTTAAAACTATAAAAAGAGGGTATTTAAAAGAGAAAAAAAAAGTAATCAATCTTTAAAATATATGAAAAAAGTGTTTTTAAAGGAAAAAATGGAGAAACATACTCAACTCTAAATTAAAGTAGATGTTCAATCACACCGTGTTTGGAACGACAGGAATAAAGAAAATGAGAGAATTCTCAACTTTTATCATAAGTTTTTTCTTCCTTATTCTTTAATCCTTATTATTATTTTTACTTTTTTTTTTTCCATTTTTTTTATTACCTATTTTCTCCTATCAAACAACAAATATAAAATAAAAAATTATTCTATTTTCTCATTTCTATTCCCTTAATTTTTTTCTCTTTTTTTTTTTTTTTTTTTTTTTTTTTTTTTTTTTTTTTCTAATCCCCTTAATTTTTCTTTTTTTTTTTTTTGTCACTCCAATTTCACTTCTCAACCCACACACGAGAAAACTCATTGACAGGAAAAAAATAGAAGAAAAAGAAATTCCTTATCATCCCTTCTTTTGTTTTATTATTTGTTCTCTCTTTTATTTTATTTTTTCACTTTCTTGTCCCAAACACATAATTGGCTCTTTCACTTTTTTTTTTTCATGGCCCCTTCTTCCTCTGGGTAAAGTTTGGTCACAAGCTCTTTCCCCCGTACCATATTTCAATGTCTTATATGATTCTCAGCCACAAAACACCCTTTTTCGCAAGAATTCTAAACCAAGTATAGAAGATTTCGTAGAACAGAAACAATAGACCACCCCACTTTAATTGCAACAACTGCAATCAATAATAGACCACCACGAAACACCATGCCTTCTCTTGATTTCAAAGAATTTCAAGAGAAGCTGTCCACCCACTTCAAACCTTGGCAACGCTCCTTCCAGTTCTGGGTTCGAGCAGCTGATATCTACACCGGTTACAAGGTCTCTCTCCCTTTAATTCTCTCTCTCTCTCTATATGTATATGTATATGCATGTCTATGAACACAAATTCAGTGGTCTGACATTATTGTTTGGGGACTTGTATTCTATTAGGTGTTTCAACTTCGAGTGAGTTTCGTAAAGGATGTGCAGAAGCAGGAGGCAATGTGGGAAAGACAGCATGAAGTTGCGGCTGAGAAGATATATAATATGTGCTCTGACCTTGGTGGGTTTTTTCTTAAGGTATTTGGTGACTTCCCTTTTCATCTCAATTGGGTTTTTGTTTTTGTGCACTTGAACTTCATTTCTGGATTTATTTATCAAAGAATTAAAATAATGTGTGTTCTTTTTTTTTTTTTTTTTTTTTAATGGTATTTGGTGACTTCCCTTTTCATCTCAATTGGGTTTTTGTTTTTGTGCACTTGAACTTCATTTCTGGATTAAAAATAATGGTTTTTTTTATTTTTTTTATTTTCTTAAGGTAAGTAGTGACTTCCCTTTTTATCTTAATTGGGTTTTTGTGTTTGTGCATTTGAACTTCATTTCTGGATTCATTTATCAAAGAATAAAAATAAAAATTGAAACTTTTTTCTGGATTCTGAATGGTGAATGCCAATATTGGGTTTGGACCTTTTGCTTTCTTTCTTGAAATTTTGCTTTACTGATTAGTTAATGGCTAAAATTCAGTTTATTTTACGATTGGGGTTTTTTTTTTGTGGATATTGGGCTGTTTTTTAAAAATTTGTTTTGGATATTAGGCTGTTTTTGTGGTGGAGACTAATTTGTTTAGTGTGGTGTGGTATGGATTAGGTTGCCCAAGTTGTTGGGAAGCCTGACTTGGCCCCTGCTGCATGGGTGAGAAGGCTTGTTACGCTGTGTGATCAAGCCCCATCAACCCCCTTTGAAGTCGTCCGACTTGTGCTGGAGAAGGAGTTGGGTCGAAGTGTAGATGAATTCTTTGACAGATTTGATACAGAACCTCTTGGTTCTGCTTCAATTGCACAGGTAACAATATCTGCATGAGGTCTCTAATTTAAGAACTTTGTTATAATGACTTATTTTCATAGCAGGGTTTAGAGCATTTTTATGAATTTTGCGCTCTTCCTTTAATATGAGTTCCAGTTATGCCTGCTAAATTTCTATCAAAGCATCATCTGTTGGGGGAAATGTTCATAATTGAGCCAGTAGCTCTATCAAAAACTTTCAAGAATGTGCTATTTTTTAACTTGACCGGCATCCATGAAACATTTGGTTTCTGTGAATAAATGTTAAACATTGATAACTAACGGTGATAAATTACCATGAAAGTGAGTAGGAGGACAGTGACAAAAAGTTAAGTTTCTGCCAACACAATGCTATGTAGCTTAAGGATCCTTTTTGAGATAAGGTGTTATCTATTGAAAGTAAAAATACAGGAAAGAGACTCTCTTCAGTCTAATACCAAAAAGCACTCCTCACCTTCTTTAGAACATTAACTATTTACAGTTGGGCTGAGAAACTATACAGTTTGATGCAAACTTGAGTCATGCCCAACATTTCATCACACAGGGCTCCAAACATATAAACCACGAGAAATCTTTCGTAAAATCTCTCTTACAGAAAATTCCATCATTCAGTTTTCTTTTAGCTGTTCAATCATACAATAACATTCATATCTGTTTATGAAACGAAATGCTCAGCAGGCTGGCCTATTTGGTCCGAGGTCATTCGGGACATGATCCATTCAAGAACAGGTTGATATAATGCAAAGTCTGACCCAAATTTCACATGACAAATAAAAACCCCATCCTGAATTTTTAAAATATAGAGCATTTTTTGGCATGTTGGATCCAATTGATATTTTGATTAATTTTTATTTTTTATTTTTTTTATAAAGATGCCATTTCCATAGCAAGTAACAATGGATATGTATAATAATGCTTGTGAAGAGTTACATCTTAACTGTGTTTCATGCTCAATTTAGGTACATCGAGCAAGGCTGAAGGGTGATAAGAGTGATGTTGTTGTCAAGGTAAGGACGTAAACATAATTTTGCAACCACAGCATTATGTTTGTGAGGTTCTAAATATTGGGTGTTATATATAGGTGCAACATCCTGGAGTTCAGAATTTGATGATGACAGATATCCATAACTTGCAAGCTTTTGCATTATACATGCAAAAGACTGATATCAAATTTGATCTTTACTCTGTAACTAAAGAGATGGAGAAACAGGTGCAGATTACTTTGTGTAGCATTCCTTGCTGATAAATACTTTCTTACTTTAGTTGTTTCGTAACAACAGATTTTGTTTGCCGTTGGTAAGTTTTTGTTGTTTTTACTTATCAAAAAAAAAAAAAAAAAATGTTTTGCGGTTTTTGTTTGCTGTAGACAAGTTTTTGCAGTTTAACTTAACCTAAGAACAACCCCTCCCCCCCAAAAGAAAAGGGAAAAATTAAAAAGAAAAGGAAAAAGTGATTGAGGATATATATTGCATTTTCTTTTATCTTTTGAAGGTTGGGCCAAGTAATTGGTTAACTTTCAATGAGTGGAGTGGAGGATGCTTAACCTAATTAAGCCCTCAAATTCATCTTGTAAAGTTACTTTATTAGTGGCATTGGACCATTATTTAGATACCAATTTAACTTTGTTCTCATCCATGATGAACGCTGAACTTTAAAATTTATCTGTTTGATACTTGTTTTGGCTATCTCAAATGTTTGATCAGTTGATTGAGCACAATATAATATGTTTTCTTTGTGGATCAGTATGAATACTCTTGATCAATTAAATGATCCTTACAACCAGTATGGCAGCAGGCAACTTTTGATATTAAAAAAAATCTTCTTGTGAGCTTGATAGAATAATAGGAGTGGATGTGATTCATTCATGTTTTTGACTATAGTATGATAAATTCAAATTACAAAAATAGAATTTTGATTCATACATGTTGTTGGGAGAATATCATAGGAGCGATTTAAGCCTTGATAGAATAATAGGAGTGGATGTGACGAGACTACAGTTCTCATATCACAATAATATATATGTCTTGGTAGTCATACACTTTGTTTTTCTAAGTGATAATTGATGCTTAGAGTCGATCATGATGCATTAAATATTCAATGAATCTCAGGTAGTCTTTGTTACACGGAAAAATTATTATTTCTCGGATGGTGCCTTCACAAAAGCATTCTGGTTTTCATTTTAAAAGTAATTTTCCTTCTTCCAAGAGCAGAAAACAAAAAACATTTTCCTTCCTAGAGCAGGAAAAGTTCTTTTAAATTGCTAAGCCTACAAGACCTCAGATATTGTATTTTGCTCACTAAGTGGTAGTGACATAATTCGATTAGGGGTCTCCATTTATTTGCATTTATTATTTAATTTGTTTCTTTGACCTTATATGTTGGACTCAAGTTTCAGACATGTAAATGAATCCATGCCTGGATCCTTATGTTGGTAAATTTTATAATATTGAATCAATTCCTCTCAGTTGAGTAAATATAGATTATTTTTCTACATGAATCTTCACGAGATTGTATTTCTGATGATAATCTGATTTTCATTTCTGCCATTCAAGATCGGATATGAATTTGATTTTGTGAGGGAAGCTGATGCTATGGAAAGAATTCGAAGTTTTTTGTACAAAAACAACAAGAAGACTCCTGTTTTGGTGCCAAGGGTGATCCGGGATATTGCCACTAGGTATGTTATGCTGCAGCACATTTTTCATGCAGCTTGGACGTGCAAACTTAACTTGGACAAACATTCTTCAAGTTATCTTGATTAATTGAATATTTCTGTTACTTGTGAAATTAAGCATGGTCAGTGATTATTAAATGATAAAAATAGAATGCGTAAATATATCTTTTGACTGACTCTCTCTCTCTCTCTCATCATTTGGTGGTTTACTTCTTGACTTGATTTGATCAGGTGAATTCACCAGTATATAGATTCTATTGAACCTTTTCTTTTATGCCAATTCCTGCTGGCCAGATTTTTCTTCCAAAACTTGCTACCTGCATGATATACAATTCTTAGATGTTTTGAAGATGTTAAACTATATAATATACCTGTAATTTTGTCAGAACATGTCAGTTTAGTGCCTGAGTTAATATGGAAATTGGTAGGTCTTGTTTTATCTTGGTTCAGCTTTGCTGATACCATAAGTTTTGCAACGAGTGTTTCAATTTCCCTTGTGAAAAGAAAACTTGATGTCAATTAGATGACAATTTTGTTGAATCCTTTATTTGATTATGGCGAAGAGAGATTTAAAAACAATATTAGCAGCAGTCTTTGTTTGTGATTGTAGCCTTTGGAGAAGTTTGATTATGTATCATTTTGATTTTTAGGATGATGGTCTGTTCATCAACTTTCTATGAGTTGAATGGTTGAATTAATGCTAAAGAATATAGAGTTTGAAGGTTACACTTCATAAGTTATATATGGTCAAATGTTCATTTGATTTTCTAAACAACAAAAATGAAGAAGCTGTCTTCTTTTGGTAGAGAAATAAGTTTTTTTCGGATATAATACCATATATCAGCAGCATTACATTAGTGTGACGGAAAGGTGTTCTAGATATTAAATTAGCAAATGGTTGCATTTCTTTACCAAAGTTTAAAAGGTGACTGAGTTTTACGTTTATTGGTGAGGTTCAAGGAGGATGCTTTCAAATGAAGCCCTAAAGGCTTAGCTCTGTCACTCCTCTGAGTAGGCACACTGAGGCACACCTCTAATGCCAAATTGGAGGCTTTGCTTCATGTAAATTAAAATAGGGTTGTCCACCACCGAGTAGAGGCTTAAAAATCTTTCATTTCTTTGTTATGCTGGTAAGTGTCTAAGGTAAGAGTTCTTTTATTATTCCTAGCATGTAAGAGTTTTTAAAATGACAGAGTACTTTAGAAACTCTACTTTGGAATTTTTCTTTGCTACTTATTGAAATTGACATATGCTGTAAAATGAATGACAGAGACACCAACACAAACAATGGAACGCACCCACGTGCACAAATACACATACATATATTCAAAGGCACATCATGATCACTAAATTTCTCAACTACCATATTTTTCGTCGACATGATAGAACAGTGAGAATGTGTGCATAGTAGCATAAGAGTGCCAATTCTAATAGTGGAAATCTGATTAAGTGAAAATATAGCTGGTAAGAAGATGTGAATTTCCATGATTTCTTTAGAACAAATTTTTTTTAACAGGATTAGTTGCCACTTGCCAGGTCAAAACTGTAGTAGTATAAGGTTCCAAAATTAATATAAGATCACTGAAATAGTAGGAATATCATTAGTACGATGAGATTTGAATTTCATGTTTATCTGAAAAGATGATGGTTGACAGGATGAAGTATTGGCTGCTAAGTCCAATAATTTTAAAATGGTGTTCGTTGTCACAATGAGGGTGTGGCCACACAGTCATTCTGCTGGGCCAAAGTAGAATAAAGCACTACAGAGTGATAGATTGAAATTGTTTTCATGAATTTGTGAATTGAATTACTCAGTTACTGAAAGAATGAGTGTGAAAGAGATTATTTGTGGCGACCTATGGGGCAGGAGTGCGTGGGCCTGTGCGAGACATTGACAGACTACCACATTGGGTGAGCTACAGGTGCACAATCCCATACTGCTTGGGTGTGAAAAAATGAAGTGCTATATATGTGGGTGGTACCATTTCCAAATGGTATGAGGCCTTTCGGGGTAAAATCCAAGAGCAAAGCCGTGCGGGCTTAGGGCCTAAAAACGGATAGTATCATATCATGTGGTGCAGTGGGTCGTTACAAATGGTATCAGAGCCTGACCTAGCTGAAAGTGTGGCCAAAGAGGATGTTGGGCCCCTAAGGGGGGGTGATTGTGGCGACCTTGTGGGCGGGTGCGAGGTACTAGCAAGCTACACTGGGCAAGCTACAGGTGCACAATCCCACATTGCCTGGGTGTGGAAGGGGGAAGTGATATATATGTAGGATTTTTACATTCCAATTGGTACGAGGCCTTTTGGGGTAAAACCCAAGAGCAAAACTGTGCGGGCTTGTGGCCTAAAGCGGATAATATCATATCATGTGGTTACCACATTGGGCGAGCTACATAGGCACAATCCCACATTGCCTAGGTGTCGAAAGGGAAGTTCTATATATGTAGGTGGTGCCATCTCCAAATGGTATTAGGCCCTTTGGGGTAAAACCCAAGAACAAAACCATGCGGGCTCGGATCCAAAGCCGACAATATCATACCATGTGGTGGAATGTGCTGTTACATTATTTTTTGTAGACCTTAGGAGTCCAACTGTATCACCGCACAACTTCACCTTTGAAACACTCACTTTTACATTTTTCCCATGTTATATATTGCTTCTGAGATCTCATCTGTGTATCTAAAGTCTTGTTTGTAATTGTATGTGACATACAGTATAAATTTACCTCAAGCCACTGCACCTTTTCTTTCTACTGTTCTCTTTCATGATTCTCACCCTTGATATCATCACAGCTTTGCTGTTTGCATATTATTCTGCAATGAGGTTGATTTTGATTAGTTAACTTCAATATTTTATTTCTAGTAATCTATCTATTTATTTTTTTGTAATTGAATTTAATGAATTAGGTTCAATGTTTTTTTTTTGTTTTTTGTTTTTGTTTTTTGTTTTAAAGCTTGTTAGGCATTCTCCTTATAAAAATTCTGCCTTCACTGCCTTATTGCTTTTCTGTGACTTCATTATTTGTTTCATTGTTTTGTTAGGAGAGTCTTAATAATGGAATATATTGATGGAATCCCAATCCTGAAGCTTGGGGATGAAATAGCGAGAAGAGGCATAAATCCCAGTGGTAAGGTTGCAGCAGTGGCAAAGCAGTAAGCTCCTAGATTAGCCAGAGAGTATGAAGTCCTTTTTTTCCCCCTATTCTTGCTTATTACATGAATACCCATTAGTTGCTTAATACTTCTCTCTCTATCTGTCTACTTTTCCTTCCAGACTACCTTGTAACCCTCTAATTTGTCCCCAATCTTTATGAGAGATGTTTGTATCTGACTATTCTTGACCACTATAGCATGCCAAATTATTTTTGGGGATTCTCAATCTTTATTTGGGTGCTTTTGACTGAGATGAAGTGATCTACTTTGTAATGGCACACATTCAATAAATCCATGATTGCTAACCAAACTTGCTAAACTATAGTAACAATAGGAATAGTTTTTCATTGAATGTATTTTGAAATGCGCACTAAATTTTCCGCTCTGAAGATGTGCATCTTATATAGAGAGCTTCCTTTTCCTCTTAATTAGCTTTTCTCTGGTTAGATTTCACAAGTATTATGATATCGGAAGTGTTGCTTGGTTCTTTCCTTCTTCTTTGGCTGTTCTTTTACAATGCACTAAATGGGTAGTGAAAAACACACAACTCTTATTACTATTTAATTTCAGGAACATTCTTAGAAGCTTGACGCTTGCATATGGACAAATGATACTGAAGAGTGGTTTCTTCCATGCGGATCCTCATCCTGGAAATATTTTAATCTGTAAAGGTTCAGAGGCAAGTTGGTGGCTGGAAATTTACTACCTTAAAATCTAGCTGCATTCTTCATAATGTTTCATCCTGTTTTTGTTAATCCTCTCAATTAGCAATACTCTTTTGTTTATGAATTTACCTTAAGAGCCAAATGATTTAGCACGAAAAATAGATTAAAATTATTTGCCTTTATATTCCGCTATCATTTATCGGCATCTCTAATGTGCAACTTATAAACTTAACGGGAATCTTTTTTTTTCCTACTCAGGTTGCCTTGCTTGACTATGGGCAAGTGAAGGATCTACCAGATGATTTGAGGCTTGGATATGCTAAACTGGTTCTTGCTATTGCTGATAATGATCCCATAAGGGCATCGGAGAGCTACAGGTACTGCAACTAACCCAGGATTCCTTGCTTTCGTTCTAACAAATATGATATTTTTTATGAGAATGGGAAAACAACATCAAGGCTGGAAGATTTGTTTTGGTGAGCTACTAAAGACACTGTATGCTAAGGAGAGTTGGGGGGAAAAAACAAAAAGAATGAAATAAGATGAGAATGGAGGCCACTTGTTGGTCCTAAATGCTACACATGAACACACACACACACACACACACACATACATTCTAGCTATTCACTTGATTGCAATGGACCTTCTTCTCATTTTGGTTTGATATTCATTTCTTGAACTCTTGGGAAAGTCTTATTGGGTTTGACTGGTATGTACATCATAATACATAATTTTATCAATTATTTAGGGAGCTTGGCATAGATACCTTGAGCAAATGTGAGGATGAACAAAAGGAGTTACTTAAGTTGGCACAAACAATGTTTGATACAAAGCTACCACCTGGTGTAACAATGTTGCAACCTTTCGCAGAAGACTCTTCAATTAAAAAGATTGCCGTTCAGGTATGCATTAGATTCCTTAGTTCATTAATCATGAGCCATTCGATATTTGCCACTTGGTTGTAGTTTGAAATTACACCAGAAATATATGGGATATGCTGTTGCTTATATAATTATCTTTTAGTAACTGTAGTCATTCTTGTAAAGGAGTAATGATTGTAGATCCTCGCACACCAAATCAATCCTCAAAGGTGTCCATCTCATGAATGATTCTAGAATCCAGATTTGACTCTAGTTTTACCCATGTGAATAATATGTATAGGTCCTTAATTCATGCAATCATGTACTCAATATGGAAGTGTACCTTTTAATAGGCGATTTCAAGATTGAAAGAAAATCTGTATATTGCCTTCCTTTGAATGGTTTACAATGCTTTAGTTAAATAGGACATACAAGGGGCTAAAAAAAGGAAACTACAAGCTGACTACAAGCTGTGACAGCAAACTACAGGCTGTAATTACAGGCTGTATACTAACAGAAGCTACAGGCTGTGCACTAATAGAAGCTATAGGTTATACACTAAAATATCCCCTAAAATCTGGTCATTGACTATCTATATTTACACGCCTATCATATCCCCTAAAATATGGTCTTATTAAAACCAAATATCTCTTTTTCAACACTCCCCCTCAAGCTGGCTTGTAGATGTCTTCCATAGCTAGCTTGCTTCTTAAAACTTCAAACTGTTTCTTGTGTAGTCCTTTGGTAAGGATGTCTGCAGCTTGTTCAGTAGTAGAGACATAAGGAATGCAAATCATACCACAGTCAAGCTTTTCCTTGATAAAGTGTTTGTCAACTTCCACATGTTTGGTTCTGTCGTGGAGGACTGGATTATGAGCAATTGAAATGGCAGCTTTGTTGTCACAGTAGACTCTCATTGGAGGAGAAACAATAACCTTCAAATCTTCAAGGAGTCTTTTTAACCATATAGCTTCGCAAATCCCATGGGCGAGTGCTCTGAACTCGGCTTCTGCACTACTCCTCGCTACTACATTTTGTTTCTTGCTTCGCCACGTGACTAAGTTTCCTCCAACGAAGGTGCAATATCCTGAGGTAGATCGTCTATCAACTATACTGCCTGCCCAATCAGCATCTGTGTACACCTCCACTTGTAAATGACCTTGTTTCTTGAACATAAGTCCTTTACCTGGTGAGCCCTTTAAGTACCTCAGAATCCTGTACACTGCTTCAAAGTGTTCCTGTCCAGGAGAGTGCATGAACTGACTCACCATACTGACTGCAAATGCTATATCTGGGCGTGTGTGAGATAAGTAAATTAGTCTTCCCACCAATCTCTGATATCTTTCACGATCAACCATATTCTCGGGTTCGGCAGCTTCTAACTTCAGGTTGACTTCAATTGGAGTGTCAGCAGCTTTACACCCGAGTAGTCCTGTCTCATTAAGCAAATCAAGTACATATTTTCGTTGATTCACGAAAATTCCTTCTCTTGACTTGGCAAATTCCATTCCAAGGAAGTATTTTAATGCTCCCAGATCTTTGACTTCAAAATCTTTAGCAAGTTTCTTCTTCAGTCTGGTCAACTCTTCAATGTCATCACCTGTCAAAATTATATCATCCACATACACAATTAAAATGGCAATTTTCCCTTCCTCACCGTGTTTGTAGAACATGGTATGGTCTGCCTGACTCTGATGATACCCATGACTCTTCACAGCCTTTCCAAAACGTTCAAACCACGCTCTTGGAGACTGTTTCAAACCGTACAGGGATTTTTTGAGTTTACAGACTTTGCTCTGACTGTGTTTTCCTTCGAACCCAGGTGGCAAGCTCATAAACACTTCTTCTTCCAAGTCTCCATTTAAAAAGGCATTTTTTATGTCCAATTGATGTAATGGCCAATTAGAATTGACTGCCAACGACAATAAGACTCGGATAGAATTTATTTTTGCTACAGGAGCAAACGTCTCTTGGTAATCAATGCCGTACGTTTGCGTAAAACCTTTCGCCACAAGTCTTGCCTTGTACCTTTCCACACTACCATCAGCTTTACACTTAATAGTGAAAACCCATTTACACCCAACAGTTTTCTTTCCTTTGGGTAAGTCAACTATTTCCCACGTTCCACTCCTTTTAAGAGCATTCATCTCCTCTAACACTGCTGATTTCCAATTCGGATCATCTAGTGCTTCTTGAATGTTTCTTGGAACAAACAAGTGAGAAATATTTGAAGTAAAGGCCCTATGTTTATGGGAAAGTTTATCATAAGACAAGTATTTGGCAATGGGATGCTGGGTACAGGTTCGGATTCCTTTTCTAACAGCTATAGGGATATCAAGGTCTACAGGAACTTGGCTAGGTGTCTCTGTACGATTAGAAATAGTAGGGACAACTGTAGACAAGTTAGGATTTAGAGTACCTTGAGTGTTCAGGGAGTCATTGCTCGGGACCTCTGATTGGCCTTGCTCAGGTACAATAGTAGGCTCTCTACTCTTTTGATGAGTCTTTTTTCTGTTATAAACCAGAAGCTCAGGATTCGGTTTTTTTGGAACCGTTGGTAGGATTTCTCCCCCTGTTGGAGATACAGTAAGGCTCGGCAGATTAGGACTAGGAGGCCCCGGGTTTCCTGATTCTAGAACATCATTTTCTTGTTTAAAAAGATCAGTGTTTGGAGTAGAGTGTGAGACAATAGTTTTAGGTAAGGGAATATTAGTAGAAATCTCCCAAAAATTTTCTTCACTCTCTTTCTCCCCCTGAAGAAAAGTTTTCTGAAAATAAGGATGATTTTCTAGAAAAAAAACATCCATACTGATAAACATTTTTTTTGTTGTCGGATTGAAGCATTTGTACCCCTTTTTATTCGGGGCATACCCAACAAATACACATTTTTCAGCCCGAGGATCCAATTTAGATCGAAGTCTACTAGGTAAATGGACAAAGACAGTGCACCCAAATACTTTCAAAGGCAGGTTCGAATAAATCCGAGTTTCAGGAAAAGATTTTTTAAGGCTTTCAAGGGGTGTAAAATAGTTAAGAACACGAGTAGGCATCCTGTTAATCAAATATGTTGCTGTTAAAACGGCTTCACCCCACAAATACTTAGGAACATTCATTGAAAACATGATGGCACGAGAAACTTCAAGTAAATGTTTATTCTTTCTTTCAGCAATTCCGTTTTGTTGGGGTGTGTCAACACAAGTGGATTGGTGAAAAATTCCTTTTTCTGTTAAAAAACTTCCTAAAACTTCATTAAAGTATTCGGTGCCATTATCAGTATGAAGAATGCCAATTTTTGTTTGAAATTGATTTTCAATCATCATATAAAAATCCTTGAATAATTTTTCAACTTCAGATTTTTCATTCATTAAATACACCCAACACAAACGTGTATGATCATCAATAAAAGTCACAAACCATTTTTTTCCAGAAAGAGTTGTGATCCTAGAAGGGCCCCAAACATCGCTATGGATTAAATAAAATGGTTTTGATGTTTGGTAAGGTTTAGGAGAATACGTAGTACGATGACTCTTTGATAAAAAACAATTCTCACAATAAAAAGATGAACAATCCAATCCTTTAAACAAAGAAGGAAATAATTTTTTAAGATAAGGGAAACTAGGATGCCCTAGTCTAAAATGCCATAGCATTATTTGTTCTCTAACAGGGATAGAACGAAAACTACTCAAACCTTGAGCCTTTTTATTACTTGAAATATCATCTTCAAAATAGTAGAGACCATCTATCATCTTAGCACTGCCAATCGTCTTCCCCAAGCTCTGGTCCTGAAATTCACAATAGGATTCAAAAAAGATAACACGACAATTAGAGTCTTTGGACAATTTACTAACTGATAAAAGGTTACAAGCAAGCTTAGGGACATGAAGGACAGACTTAAGATCAATAATTTTTGAAAGTTTCACTAAACCTTTGCCTGCAATAGGAGAATAAGAACCATCAGCTATTCTGATTTTTTTTTCAGAGCCAGAACAGGGTGAATAAGTTTGAAATAAATGAGAACAACTTGTCATATGGTCAGAAGCCCCTGAATCAATGATCCATGGGGTAACACTGGAATTTGAACGACAAGATAAGGCCTTCGGGTTGTTACCTGTTTGAGCAAGAGAAACATTAGGAGTACCAGATGAGGAATTGAATTTCAGCAATTTTAGAAGATGATCCATCTGTTCTTTGCTGAAGGGAAGTGCCTCGGCTTCATGAGCTGATGGGGCTCGGTTGAATCTGCCTTCCTGGTTGAATCTGCCTTCCTGCTTACTCTTCCAATTCGCTGGTTTACCATGAATTTTCCAGCAGGTTTCACGGGTATGGTGAGGCTTGTTGCAGTGGTCACACCAAAGACGGGGCTTTTCATTATGTTTCCTGCCAATATTCGCTTCAGATGCGACCAAGGCAGAGGTCTCAACAGCACCATTTGATAACTTTTTTCCAAGCATGACCAGCCTGCGACTTTCCTCTCTTCGAACCTCGGAGAAGACTTCACCGATTAAAGGCAAGGGTTGTCGTCCAATTATTCTGCCTCTCACTTCATCAAACTCGACATTGAGTCCAATGAGAAACTTGAAGATGCGGTTGTCTTCCACCTTCTTTTTGTAATGGTTGCAATCTTCAGGCGATTTCCACTCATAATCGCTGAACAAATCAAGGTCCTGCCACAAACGTTTCAGAGAGTTGAAATATTTTGTAACACTGTTATCTCCTTGACGGATCTCTCCGAGTTTCAGCGTTAGTTCATAGACTTGAGACTGATTTCCTAGGTCTGAATACATTTGGTTGACATTGTCCCAAAGTTCTTTTGCTGTGTGGTAACACATATAATTAGAACTGATGTCCTCCTCCATAGAATTCACCAACCAGGTCATCACCATCGAATTCTCTGCATCCCAGGTCGAGTAGGATGGATCTTCAGGTTTTGGTTCCTTCTTTTCTCCTGTTAGGTAGCTGATTTTGCCTCTGCCTCGGATATACATCCGCACGGACTGGGACCAGCGAAGGAAGTTTTCACCATTTAGCCGAATTGTGGTAATCTGGACCGAGTGTGTCTGAGAGTTTTGGACTTGGGACTCAAAGGTCTTGGTCTTGGACTCAGGTATGTCATCAGACATGGTGATTAGAGTTGTTTGGAAGAGAAAAAAAAAGGAACAGCTAGGGGTTTTTTTTTCAGAAGAATCGGTAAGATGCTCTGATACCAAATAGGCGATTTCAAGATTGAAAGAAAATCTGTATATTGCCTTCCTTTGAATGGTTTACAATGCTTTAGTTAAATAGGACATACAAGGGGCTAAAAAAAGGAAACTACAAGCTGACTACAAGCTGTGACAGCAAACTACAGGCTGTAATTACAGGCTGTATACTAACAGAAGCTACAGGCTGTGCACTAATAGAAGCTATAGGTTATACACTAAAATATCCCCTAAAATCTGGTCATTGACTATCTATATTTACACGCCTATCATATCCCCTAAAATATGGTCTTATTAAAACCAAATATCTCTTTTTCAACACTTTTATTGTTCCTTGATTCATGAACATAATATGGAAATGTAACCAGTGTACTGTATATAAATAATACTCTCATATCTCCTCACATGTGAGGTATTCAAAGTATGTTCTTGTCTATTGTATCTTTTGTATGGTATCAGAGCCAATTCCCTTGTTCACCATGGCTCAGAATTCCAGCAACAAGAATGTTGCCAGTGACACTGCCTCACTTTCTTTTCTCCTTCCTACTCCCAACGTCCAACATGTTCTCAATGTCAAGTTAAAAAACACAAACTATCTTTTGTGGCGTGCACAATTTTTGCCCCTCTTGAATGACTACGATCTGATCTGATTTATTAATGGAACTTCCAAGTGTCAGTCAGAATTTGTTCAAAACGAAGAAACCAAAGAAATCCAGATTAATCCTGGCTTAGTGGCGTGGCAGCGAAAAGATCAACTCATTGTGAGTTGGATTATCTCTTCTCTAACTGAAAGTGTTCTCATGCATGTTGTTGGGTGAGAGTCATCCCATGAAATAGGGATGCACTTGGAGCATCCATTTGCTTTCCATTCCAAAAATCGTATTATTCAACTATGTTACCAACTCCAAGTTCTCAAGAAGGGTAATGACTCCATTTCAGAATACTTCTTGAAGGCAAAAACCATTGCTGATAATCTAGCAGCAGCTTCTAAACCACTACTTGAAGAAGATTTGATTCTCCATGTTAAGTGCATGAATCAAGGAACTATAAAGGTTCACTTCCATATTGTGTACATGATTGCATGAATTAAGGACTTATGTAAACATATTATTCACATGGGTAAAACTAGAGTCAAATCTGGATTCCGGAGCCATTCATGATCTGGACACCTTTGAGGATTGATTTGGTGTGTGAGGATCTACCCCATCATTACTCCTTTACATGTACAGTTAAGTTTGACCCATTTGAACTTCTGCGTGACAAACTTAATGTCCAAACTGGACAGTTAAGTTTGAGGGGGCATATAAAGGAGTAATGATGGTAGATCCTCACACACCAAATCAATCCTCAAAGGTATCCGGATCATGAATGACTCTGGTATCCAGATTTGACTCTAGTTTCATCCATTCGAATAATTTGTATATAGGACCTTAATTCATGCAATCATGTATGCAATATGGAAGTCTACCTTGTATAGTTCCTTGATTCATGCACTCAAGATGTAAAATTTAACAAGTGTACTGTGTATAAATAATACTTTGATATCTCCTCACATGCGTGAGGCATTCTATGTATCTTCTTGTCTATTGCATCTTTTGTAATTCTTGGTGTTTTTAATTTCTATGTGGTCAATAGAATGCCGCATGGGAAGGGAATTAGCGTTCTACCTATTTCTAATGCCACATGAAATATAAACCATTCAACTAGTTTCTCATAGCATTTGAAAGGAGCCTACATTGCTTTTGCTACATTTGAAATACTCACATCTTAGTTTTATATTTAAACATGTCTATGCTTAGGATTTGTTAAAATGATGTAGCATCAATTCCTTGTTGTTTTCATTTTTGAGGATGAGCCTTTTTTTTCCTCTTTATTATTTGCCTGCATTTTAAACGATGACATGTTTTTTGTGCCATGCACAAAAACAGAAAGCAGATGAATGAAAAAGGAAAGGTTTAAGTTTGATCACTATAACCTTTACCTAATATCACATTCAATATTGTAGAATATATAAACATTTGATGTAGCAATGAACACAGTTGTGTCTTGAATTCTTCTTCATTCATATGTTAATAAACATTTGATGTAGCAATACACACAGTTGTGTATCGAATTCTTCTCATTTCATATGCTAATAACCAATAATCTATTTGTTCTTTGGTAAAAAGATTTGAAGTGTGAGTGCTTTCTAGTTACAGTTAAGGGAAGGTAAAAGATTTAAACATAAATTCATGTCACTGTATTCCTTGGTGTTATCTAAAAATTTCTCTTTTCGTTGGATGATAGGCTTTTCCAGAGGAACTGTTTTGTATACTTCGCACGGTGCATCTGTTGAGAGGACTTAGTGTTGGTCTTGGAGTCAACTACTCATGTGCAGAGCAGTGGAGACCTTTTGCAGAAGAAGCTTTGTATCATGCCGGCAGACTAACAGGTGACTCTTCTAAGCTCCTATTGTTTTAAGTGGCCAAATGAAATTGTGCAGTCTATTCTTCTTTTCACTCTGCGCTAATCTATCCATGCTCCATATTTTATTGAAATGAGTATAGCAATCTGCATGTAACATGTGCTCCGTGTGTGCGCGCGCGAGTCCATCTAGGAGTGCATTGTCATGACTCGAGAAACGACATGATTCACGCTTCCAGTTCTCATTTTGCATAAGCATTATCCTTGTTTCACAATGATACCGTGCTGATTCTGCTGAATGATGAATATGTGCATGAAAATATGCATAATCTATGAGAATTTTGTTTCAGGTAAGGATCCCAAGACTAAAGTAGGTAGAAGCAGTTTCTACCAAAGAATATTTCGGGGAGAGTGATTGGCTTATGAAGAAGGGTTGGCCATAAATCCACCTATGGCTCTTTGCATTCCAGATTGTTGGTTCAATATAAAACTGATCAGTCCTTCAATATTTGTTAGGTATAAAATGTTATCCTTCATAGTAACTACTCAGTTATTTGATTCCTTCATGTGGAATTTTATTTTATTTATTTTTTAAATAATGCACTTACATATAAGAAGCAGAAAAAAGAGGGACACATTAGTCATTTCACATTTAATTATTTATTTTACCCTTTTTATTAAGTTATAGAGGGATACTTTAATCATTCTACATTTAATTATTTATTTTACTCTCTTTTTTTTTTATTTAGTTATAGAGGGATATTTGAGTCTTTTCAGTCTTTAGGTCCTTGTTTGCTCATAAATTAAATGTTAGGGATTTTTCAAAATGTATAACAATTATATACTGTATGGATATCATAACTTCATAAAACCCATCTCAAAAAAAGGAAAAAAAAATGAATTCCACTCTCTCTAGCAAATTACCATGCGAACCAACCTCCATTGAAAACCCAATGGCTGCTCTCGACCGTCAACCACCACTCCCCAACTCTCTCCGGTAAATCCCTCTCTCTACATTGTTTTTGTATTATGTTGGTCCGAATTTCAAATTCTATAGCTGTTTGGGCTATTGGGCTATGTGATGGCTAGGCCTGCGGGCTTCTTGTTTTCTTTGCTGGGCTTTTCTGCTTGTTATGTTCTCCTTTTTCTAGCCTGTAGTTAGGCTAGTTTGGGCCTCCTGTAAATTCTATACATATATATACAATTTGTTTTACTGTTCCAAAAAAAAAAAAAAAAAAAATTTTGTGTTTTGGGCTCTTGGGCCTTGTTTTTTATTCTGTTTAATAAAATTTGGCGCTTCACTGCTTTGCCTGGTGAAAAAAAATAATAAATAACTTTTTATTTATATGTATAAAAATGGGTTGAATATATAGGCTATATTAGATTTCCAATATGCTTGTGACTTGGGTAGGGCTACAAATGAACGGCTCGGCTCGGCTCGTTAATTACTCGGCTTGAGCTTGGCTCGTTAATTACTCGGCTTGAGCTTGGCTCGTTAATAAGTGAATCGAGTTCGAGTCGAATTATGAGGCTCGATTTATAAACGAGCCGAATTATGAGGCTCAATACACTCGACTTGTTTGTTCATGAATTGGACTCGATGATGCGTTTACGAACATACTCGATTATAATATATATATATACATACATATTCAATTATAATATATACAAAAGTATTCAACTTTTTCTATATATATAACTTTTTTTATATATTCATAATATATATGTATATATATATATATATACATACCCTATGTAAATATATATACAAAAGTATTCAACTTTTTCTATATATATAATTTTTTGATATATATTCATAATATATATGTATATAATATATATGTATATATATATATATATATATATATATATATATATATATACATACTCTATGAAAATATATATACAAAAGTATTCAACTTTTTCTATATATATAATTTTTTGATATATATTCAAAAAAAATACATATACACACACACACACAAAAGTATTAACTTATGCCTATGCGATTCTTTCAAATCAATCATTAAAGTTATATACACACAAAAAAGTATTAACTTATGCCTATGCGATTCTTTCAAATCAATCTTAAAGTTATATACAAAAGTATTCCATGTTTTTTGAAATCTTCCACCGTGCTTTCCTTTTGTTTTCTTTTGTTTTCGTCTTTTCAAAAGTTGGAGTGGCCAACTTTTCAAACCTGCCACCGGTCCCCATGTGATGCACAGACCCTTTTTCTCATCAGCCGAGGAACTTGGGCTGTTTCAGACTATCCTTTTCATTTGTTGATCTCATATTCATGATTCATCTCAGTATCTCTACTTACACAATTAGTTCGGTTGCCCGTTTTGCTCCATAACAACGCCAATCATCTTCTTTGTAAGTTGAATTTTTTTATTTCCTCACTATTTTTTTCTTTCTCTTTCAAATATCTTTACATAAATTGGATATTTTTGCTTTGAAAAGGTTATGATTTGATTTATTTTGAAAACACATCTTATTCTTATTGATTTGTTGATTTTTATTTATTTTTTATTTTTAATTTTTACCTCTTCAGTCCAATTTAGGATTTTTTATTTTTTTATTTAAAAAAAAGAGAGTTAGGATTTTTTACTTTTTGAGAAAATTTGAACTTATCTCTCCTTTTCTTTATTAAATACTTTGAGAATTCTTCTATTCATAGGTTCTCTTTATTAACTCTAAATTATTTGAAGCTGCATATTCTTGATGCTACATTAGAATACTGCATATTCTTGATACTTTATTACCTGATTCATTGTTTGTTTACATACGAGCCTTTACATAAAAGGACAAACCCAATAAGATTTGGGGAGGAGATTAGATACACGCAATCTCAACTTTACATACAGATATGTGGTGGTTTCGTCTTTGGCCTTCAAGTCACAACGAAACAACATTATCATTGCAATGCATAACACATCCTAATAAACTCTAAAATATGAAAATACTTAAATAATCCTAAGATTCAAACATTACCAAAAATAAAAATAAAAATAATTACTTGTAAGCTCGTTGGGACAATTTCCTGCATTGATTAAATTTTTTATAACCTACTATTTTTCTCATTTTCGATAAATATACCTATAAAATCTTAAATCTTACTTGAATATTTATGCAAGGCATTTCGGTTAAAATGCTCTGTCAAATAATTGTTTCCCTTATTAGTTATTTTACTTGAATATTTATTTATTTATTATTATTAGGATAAGGATTTCGGATTGTATAACACATTATGTGTCACTGACTTATAGACGTCGTTGGACATGCTACTAATAAGTTGGGGAGGATGTTTTTTTTAGTAACACTAGATATGATTAATTTCAATAATATATATTTTGGTTTGAAGGTCATGACAAGGGAACAATGTGGTCTAGTGAGTCCAAATACATGCATATCAACAAGAATATTGTGGATGTGGAAGAATCACAAGGTTAGGGATTTATATATAGGTACATCGCTTCTCCCATTGATAGATATGTGATTAGCTTTGTGTCGGTCTAGTATATTCAAATTATATTCTTTTTCCTTGTATTAGAGTGTCTTCTTGCCTCACCCAAGCTCAGATGCTTGTGTGTTCAATGGACAGTGTCGGCGGATCTTTAGGCGAATTAGGATTGCTTTAAGTATAAGATATTGGGTGAGTCACGCATGTCATGAAAGTTCAACATACAGTGAAATGGTTCCTGACACTTGAAAAAAAATTGTACTTCATTTACTGATTTGTTATATTTATCATTGATTGAGTGTGCTAATTACATGATATGCCCAACTCACCCTCCCCCCCCCCACCCCCAAGAAAAACAATGTAAAGTTTAATTTATATTTATTCTCTTATTTTTTTAGCCATTGTTCTCTACTCCTTACGTCCCCTCGCGTGCCCAGATAAAGAAAAAATCTTTCATGATTTCCTATTTTTTCTATTCTCTCACGCGCACTATCACTATTTTTTCTATTCACTCGTCATAAAAGATCATGGTTCAGTTGCGATTCGGGCTAGCCGTTGGAGAGGGAACATCGATGCAGACTCCAAGTCAAAGGGAACTGCCTAGGGAACATCCAGACGCCTCCACCGACCGGGAATGCATCACAGTATTGGAACGACAAGTTTAGACCTTGAACCAAGGATTTTACTAGTTGGTTCAACAAAATGCGATGATTTTGCAATGCCTGGCTACCCTGGCAGGACCACCGCCCTAACAAGAATTATCCAATGGACATCTAGATCCTCCAATTCTAAATGATGGGGAGAAAATAGGGAGGACTGAGATAACAATCCTCCTCATGAGCTCGAGGCAGAACAAAGCTAAGTCGGGAACCGGCACAGAGAGTCTCTTCCTCCTTCTTCGTGAAATTCCCAGCTTCGGGCAAACACAATTACCTGTGTCGAGGAGAAGATAGAGGAAGTCACCCAATTCAACCTACTCCAAGATCTTAAGGCAAAAATAGAGGATGTGATGCAGGCTATGAAAGGAAAAGGTTCCGCCGTCATAGTTAACTTGGTGCAAAGGACCAACTCGCTGTTCAGTCCCACTGTCATGAAATGCCCCCTGCCAAGCAAGTTCAAGATGCCCTTGTTCGAAAGTTTCGATGGGACCAAAGATCCACTCAACCACCTAGAGATCTTTTAAGCTCTTATGCATCTACACGCTGTGCCAGATGAAATCATGTGTCGAGCATTTCCCACGACCCTCAAAGGATCGGCACGGGTATGGTTCAATAAGTTGAAGCTAGGAACCATCGAGACCTTTGAAGAATTGAGTAAGCAGTTTGTAAGTCAATTCATTGTAGGCTAGAGGCATAGGAGGCTGGCTACCTACCTGCTTACTGTGAATCAAGAGAAAGGGGAGTCATTAAGGGAATACATCACCCGATTCAACACAGAGATGTTGCAGGTGGAAGAGATGGATGAAAAAGTGACATTGACCGCTTTCATGGGAGGACTCAAAACCTCTAGATTCTTGTTCTCCTTATCAAAAGAGCTACTATCAACATGGCAGAGTTGTTGGTTAAGCGTAGAAGCACATGAATGCTGAAGACGCCATGAATGCATGGAAGGAAAAGAAAAGAGAAGACAAGAAGGGGTCAGCCTTAGCACCAGGGATGAGAAGGAAGCCAGATATAAGAAATCATTCTTTAACTAAAGCGAGAAGACAACTCGTGAGAAGGACTCAGCTTAGTATGCCGACTACACTCCTTTGAATACATCAGTTGACCATATTTTCTTATAGATCCAAGATGATGCGTCTTTAAAATGACCAAACAAAATAAAATCCAATCTAGCAAAAAGGTCCCGAGATAAGTATTACAGGTTTCATTGGGAATTTGGGATCATGGGCACACTCCGGAGGATGGTTTTGACCTTAAAAATTAGATTGAGAATACGATTCGAAGGGGTCACTTGCTAAGGTTTGTTGCCGATAAAGGTACCAACTCCAATAATTCCCTTCTAGGGTAGCAACCAATTGGGGAGATCAGGATCATCTCGGATGAGTAGACATGAGATGATGAATCCAACTCGACTCATGAGGCTAACATGACAAAAGTTACCTCTTGACTAAAAATAGCTTCATTGAGTCATTAAAAATAAAGACCAGTGGCATGTCAGTTAAGTACTTTGGAGGGAGGATAGCTCTTTCCCACTTCATTTTAGTTTCTAATAAAGTCAGCATCATCAATAAGATGGATGACTTCTCATGTTTGTTTAATAAAAGATTATCTTTTCTGTTATTTATAATGATTCTATGTGCTATGCTTTACATAAAGTTAACGCTAGCAAGCAACCAAGTTTCTTTATTAAAGGGATTAGACGAGTAAAGCTCGAAGAACCAATTCCCTTACTAAAGGGATGAGTTGAGTGAAGCTCGTAAAAATAATTCCTTTACTAAAGGGACGAGTTGAGTGAAACTCGTAAAATCCATTCCCTTATCAAATGGATGAGCTGAGTGAAACTTATAACATTTATTCCCTTACCAAAGGGACGAGCTGAGTGAAGATCGTAAAATTTGCAAATAATATGTTGGATTCCCAAAGGAAGTCCAGACGCCCTTACAAAACAGAACCTTAATTTGGTTTCTATATTATTTCACCCAAGGAACAAAATCCAAGGAGTAATGTTTTACCCGGGGTATAAAAAAAATCACCCTGGGAATGGTACCCCTGTTCATCTCTGGAATAGTGACCAGGGGTAAAAAAAAAATCACTTTGAGATTAGTACCCCGAGGTACAATTCACCATGGGAAGAGTGACTTGAGGTAAAAAAAAACCTCGGGAACAATACTGTTCACCTCAGGAATAGTGACCAGGTTAAAAAAAAAAAACTTTGGGAATAATATCCCCGATGTACTGTTCACCTCGGGAATAGTGACCTAGGGTTAAAAAAAAAATCACCTCAGGAACAACACCCCCGAGGTACTATTTACCTCGAGAATAGTGACCCACGGTAAAAAAAAAAAGTCACCTCGGGAATAGTTCCCCGAGTGACTTGGGGTAAAAAGAAAAAAAGTGTCTGACATTCCCAAAGCTAGACGAGCAAGCTTGGGAATGAGCTGCAAATGATGAGGGAATTTAGAAGAAAGTAGCGCAATGGACCGATAGTCAACAAATAAGGTGAAGCGTTTGAATTTCAAAGAGATCTTTTAGTTACATCAAAGATAATCAAGGAAGTTCAAATCCACAATAGATCTCCTCGAATCACGACACACACGATAAACCAGTATAGCGATCAGCTATAAAACAAGTATGACCAACCAAACAGGGATGAAAAGAATACATACATAAAAATTACTACCATTAATTCAGAGCTCCGTTGACTGACTTGGTTGTCGGAGAGCTCTTGGCAGGCTTTACACCGATGTCAACCAGGGTTCATTGTTTTTCTTCTCTCTTCTTTGCAAAGAACGGTGCCATCCCTGGTCGTGTTGATTTTTGCTTCAACAACATATATCATACATAAGTAAAAAGAAGAATTTTAAGAAGTAAGAAAAAAATGAAAAGAAAGATAAAAGAGAAAACCCCAAGGGGTTGGCTCAAGTGGGTAAGAATTTGGTCCTGGTGCTTCACAATTCCTTTTTTTTGGGGGGGCAATTTTGAAATTAAGGAAAAAAAATTTAGAATTTGATTAAATAAGGAAAATTTTACTTCTTTAAAAGAAATTAAAGGAATTTGAAGAGTAAAATAGAAAAGAAAGAAAACTGTTAAGAGGTAATTTTAAAAATTAAAAGTTTTAGAAGGGCAATAAAATAGAATTTTCACACACACACACACACACACACAAACACACGCACATATATATATATGTAAAAAAATAAAATAAAACCTTATATACTATAGTGGGTGGGGCCAGACTAGGGAGGGTACAT